CTGCTGCTGCTGCTGCTGCTGCTGCTGCTGCTGCTGCTGCTGCTGCTGCTGCTGCTGACTGGTATGACTAGCTGCTTCAAGTACCTGCCACCTTGAACAGTGATGGGCTATGACCTGGCATTGTGAGCGTCACTAAACCCTGACTTCCCCTGTGGCTTTTGTCTAGGTGTTTTATCACATAAACATAAAGAAACTAGGGCATCGTGTTCTCCCCCGGGCCGCACCCTTTCCCTGTTTAAACCTCGCCATCCTTCATGGTCCCTCTGTTTTCATGCCACGTGTGCCCTGCCACCTGCATCCTCCTGGGCATTTTTTTTAAGCTGGAAGAATTATTTTATCACTGCTTTGGTCTTGCTGCTGGCTATGGGTCTGTTTAAATTATTTGTTTAATCTTGGTTTAGTTTTGGTTGGTCATATGCAGGTAGAACTCATCCATTTATTGTAGATTTTTCATTTGTCTAAAATCTGTGTTTTTAGGGTGTGCTCTGAGGGTGCTCCAAATTCCACTGGGGTCTGTTGTTGTGTCTCCCCTTCATCTCAGATGTTATGAATGTGGAGTATTCTCCTTAATTCTTTATTTTGGGTAATTTGGCTCAACTTGTCAGTCTTGTTTCTCTTTTCAATGAACCAACCCTTCATTTCATTGGCTCTTTGTTTCTGTTGTTGTTCCTTCTGGTTCATTTCATTTCTGTCCGTATCATAATTCTTTCTCCTTATTTACTGCTTTGGAGTTTGGTTTGTTCTTTCTTTCTTTCTTTCTTTCTTTCTTTCTTTCTTTCTTCCTTCCTTCCTTTCTGTTTGTTTTGTTTTTCAAGAAAGGGTTTCTTTGTGTAGCCTTGGTTGTCCTGGAAGTCACTTTGTAGACCAGGCTGGCCTCAAACTCACAGAGCTCCACCTGCCTCTGTCTCTCTAGTGCTGGGATTAAAGGTGTATGCTACCATCACCTGGCTGTTTTTGTTTTTCTAAGTCCTTAAAGTACAGCATTATGTTATTTGAGATACTCTGCTTTATGTAGGTACTTTGCTTTTAAGACTTCATTGTGTCCCATAGCTTTCTGTATGTGTGTTTTCCTTTTTATTTCATTCTAGATTTGTTTTACTTCTTACTTGATTTCTTCAGTGATCTATTCGTCATTCAATAGTGTGCTGTTTCTTATCCATGCGCCTGTGTGCTTTCTATAGTTTCTGCTATTGTTACTATATAGCTTTATTTCATTGCCATAGAAGCTGTGGGCTTGCCGTGAGGGCTGTGGGCTTGCCATGAGGGCTGTGGGCTTGCCATGGGGGCTGTGGGCTTGCCATGGGGGCTGTGGGCTTGACATGAGAGTTGTAGCCTTGTAGTGTGGGCTGTGGGCTTCTCATGGGGGCTGCAGATTTGCTGTAGGGTCAGAACTGCTGACTTTCCTCAGGTTGGCCCTCCAGCTGTGATTTCTGCCCCACCTCCAACCATCCAAGCCCCCACCTCCACCTCTCCACCCCACACCCCCACACCCCTTTGAGCACACGACTGAGGCTGAGTGCTGCTGGCATCTGTCCTTCCACTTCCTTTGTGGGTTTCTGAAACTCTTTCTCATTCTCTCTTTGGAATAGCGTCTATTTTTTTTTCTAGCAGGTTTTCTAGAAGATAAAGAGGTAGGGTTGGGAGAACAGTATCCCACACTCCTCCGGGAAGGTGTGAGTCAAATGTACACACCCCAGCTCTAGATATTTCCAGCCCCAGTGTCACCTCACTGTCCTGAAGGAAACCTAGACTCACGCTGCCTGCAGGGTCCAACACAGCAGCCAAATGGATCATCTAAATTACATGGATGTTGGTTAAATTGATTAATATGTGCTGAGCTGGCTGCACAGGCTGGGCAAGCCTGGATCTTAAAGGCAGCACCCAAAAGGCCAGTTTGCTGAGCATCCATAAACAGGGTTGTGATGGCTGAGAAGTGAGGTCTGAGGAGGGTACAGTCAGATGACCAGCAACGAAGGGTGTGGGTGGAGGGCAGGTGGCCAGCACCACTCTGGCACCTAGCCAGGACACTTTTCTTTTGCTCTCAGAAGCGGGTTCTGTTCCTGACCAATGACTACTTCTTCACGGACATCAGTGACACACCTTTCAGGTGAGGGAGTTGAGCCAGGGTGGGAGACAGAGTGGAAATGCCACCGGCTCATGAGGGAACTTTCAGGTTTGAGAGCCAATTCTTTCTTACCAACTTAGCAATTTTGTGCTATTAGCAACGGATCCTAGTCAGTTAGCATTCAGGAAATGAGCTCTAGATGGCATTTGCCAGTGTGGCTAAATGTCCAGTTCTGCAGCCAACTATGAGTTTGAATCCCAGCTCCCCCACTTATGGTCTTTGTGACCTGAGTCAAGGAATGTAACGTCCTCAGATGTGGTCTGTGAAATGTGAGTGACGGTGGCGGTAGCACCTGCTTCCGACCGAGTGGAGGATAACGTGACACACTCTACATAGATGGCGGTGTGGGCCGGGAGGAAGAGTTTTAAGGTTCCCTCTGTCATTTCCCGGTGGCACTCAGGTTCCCTGCTCTGACCACCCACTAGAATACCTGAGGATGTCTCAAGATGGCTGACTGCTCGGCCCATGCAAACCAACTATGTCGGCACTGTGAGGCAGAGCCCAGGTTCTACACCTTTGAATGCTCCCCAGATTCAATTCTAATGTGCTACCAAGGGATGGGGTTCGGTAAGGAAGGAGCCTCCTCAGGGAATCCTGAGAGCCATGAACATTTCAGGGTCCCTGGAAAATCAAGTACTTCCTTACTCCTTAAGTAACCTGGGAGCCCCAGAAACCATGGTGTGTGGCATTTCCAGGGCCCTTCCTGGGAAGAATGACTGATAAGCTAGCAGTCCCTTCCTGGTTCCCAAGGGGACGACCTGTGAGGCCAGGCTAAAGGAAAGAGCTAGAAAAGTGGGCCACTGCCCTGTGTCCAAAAGCTTGCTTGGTGAGCAACTAGCGAGAGTGGATGCAGCAACTGTGCACACAGCTGTCCTCTCTTCTCTCTAGCTTGGGAGTGGTGCTGACCAGAGGCCATGGAGAATACATCCTCCTGGGAAACACGTCTGTGGAGGAAGGTAGGTCATGCCATGTGCTAACTGTGATGTGGTGTGTAGTAGGGGATTTGCTCTCCTAGGTTGCTGAGTAGGGTCAACCCAGGATGGACTCAGGGTGAATATTTCCCACCAGGTGAGGTGGCAGAGAAGGGCCTCACTCCTATCCCAGTCCCTGGGATAACAGCCGACTTAACCTCAGCTGTTTGTCCACGGTCTCTGCCTACAATTTCCCAAAGTTTCATTGAGCACCTGCTTATGTTTGAGCGCTGAGCTACCGAGCACTCACTCACTCATTCCATCAGCAAGTGTACTAAGTGCACAGTCAGGTGGGCTAAGAGCCCAGTGGGGCTCCAGAGCTCACTCGGCAGGGACAGCCCACCAGGCTCATCTCTAGCTGGCCACTGTCACGGTCATGTATGATAAAGTCAAGGAAGACAAAATCACTGCTTTCCAAGCATTGGCTCCTCGAAGGGAGGCGTTAAGAGGGTGGGGCTTGCAAGGCACTGGTGTCTAAAGAGGTTTGAGACTGCAGCCCCTGAAACCAAAATGCTAGAGGTGTGTTCATGGAAACCCTTCCTGCAAAGAGATCTGCAGACCCGGGTGTGTGCCCACAGCCATAGGGTATGAACCTGAGTATGGACTCTGCTTTCAGGCCTGCATGACTTGCTTCATCCGGATCTGACCCTGGCCAGTGACTGGTAGGCAGGGAGGTAAGGGTGGGAGGGAGAAAGGGGGGGGGTCTGAGGTAACATGGGTTCCCTGCATTTCCAGGATCTACTGCATCACCGATATCGACCCAGACCACCGGAAACTCAGTCAGTTGGAAGCTGTGGTCCGCTTCCTGACAGGGATGGATCCAGGCCTGGAGTGTGAGTGCCCTAACCCACGCCTCTGAACTTGTCCTCTCCGCCCCAGCAGCTCAGGGCCTCCCAGGGGTGGAGAGTGCCATGACCCCATCTTGAGATTGCAAGCGTGGCTCGAGGAGAACAAGAAGAGGCCCCAAAGCAACAGGCAGAGCTAGCGGGGGCCGTGAACCGTGGAGGACGCGGGCATGCCAGGAACTGGAGGCCTGCACAGGACTTTCTTCAGCTCCTTGCAGCCCTCCTGCGTGTCCAGTCTGTCCCCACCACCTTAACGTGCGTGAGGAGCAGACACTGTCTTGAGGGTCTCAGTTCTACCAAGCATAGCATTTGGTCAGGCAGTTTCTTCAATCCCTTGGTGTGGAAGGATGTGCTGAGTCTAGGCACTCAGGCCTCTGGCCAGCTCAGTCGGCCATGGCCCTCAGCAAGTCCCTTCCTCCTCTCCAGTTGTCCTGCTGCATATGTAGGTACCGAGGATGGGGTGCTGAGGAGGGGGTGAAGGGAGGTGAGAGTAGGATTTGTAAGGATGAAGACTCCGGGTCTGGGACCTTCTTTGAAGACAAAAAAAGGGGTGGGGGTTGTTTTCTTAAGTAGATGGAGTGGGTTATACAGTCATGTATATGTAGTCATTGAGTTGAATACTGTAAGTTAGTTTTGTGCAATGTAAATTTCACTTCAATGAAAAATTAAAACAGTTCTAAGAGAGGGACAGAGAGTGCCGCCTAAGTAGAGAGGAGGAAGAGCAGTCAGGCCAGGGAAGCAGCAGACACGGGAGCACTGAGGCAGGGCAGCTTAGAGCCAGGTCAGGCCTGCAGCATCCACAGCCACCAGCATGCCCTGCATCCAGGAGCAGGAGGGCGGAATCTGTCACAGCTGTGCAGGCCCTGGCCGGATCAAGAGACTATCTAGACTCCACAGTGTTGAGCTGGCAGGGCCTTCAGTGCCAACCCCCACCTTTTCTGTGGCTGAGAACTTGAAGGCAAAACAAGGAGGGTTGATACTTTTATGCCCACTCAGATGGCTTGAATAATCAGAGACACCAACACAAGTCATCCTTCTCCTGACTTCGATAGGGTGGGGGGCTGTGCTGTGGGCCTTGTTATTATTATTGGACAGACTAGTCTCAAACCTGCTATGTCGCCAAAGATGAACACCAACTTGTGAGCCTCTACTTTCAAGAGTTGGGAACCTAGACTTGTACCACAACTGAGCTAGATCCCAGCTTCGAGGAGCTGTGCTCTTCTTCATAGGTCGGGGCTGGGGCACTAGGTGACAGGTGGCAAGTTCCTGTGGCTTTACCTCCAGGTGATGAGGAGCTGATACGGGAGGTGCTGTTTGACGCAGTGGTGACAGCCCCCATGGAAGCCTACTGGACAGCACTGGCACTCAACATCTCTGAGTATGTACAAGAGGGACCACGGTGAGGGCAGGGACACAGGGATATGATGGAACCAGCGGGGCGGGGTGAGACTGGCCTTCACAGCACTGCTGTAAAGCAGGCTCCCATCCCACCGCTCCTACCAGCTCCTCACTCAAAAGCATCAGGTGCAGCTTTCCCAGGCAAAAACCCAGCCAAGACCTGGGATGAATGTGCTCTCTTGGTCGGTCTCCCACTACCTAAGAAGTTCCCCCGGGGAAGTGCAAGACAGACAAATGGAGACTTACTTCCAGCTTCGAAGGAAGGCTACCCAACCTGTTTGACCTCAGTGCTACCCAGACTCCAAGATTTCCCTCATCGTCCTGTTGCCTTTTTCTTGGTGGCATTGTATTTCGTGACTAGACAGAAAAATGAGTACTGTGTACATGCCGCAAGAGGTAGGCAGTCAGGGTGACAGTAACAAGGTAGGGGCTATAGCACTTGTTTCTAAATAGGAAGGCTCAAAAATCATTGATGTCAAACCTCCCTAACACTCGAGTTTACTGCCGCTCCCCTAACACAACAAACTCCTGTTTTTAAAGGCACGTGTGCAATGTGCTCCATTTCTTCAAGAGAGGGGCCGGAGGAGCCAGAACACCGTGTCTGTGTGCATGTACACCACGTGTACATCAGGAAGGCTGATCAGCAAAGGTTCTGAGGGTTAGAAAAATAGGTCGTTGAATTGCATACGCTTTTGGTGCAACTTTGAACCTTATAAATGGGGGAATACAAATAAACCTAAAATAAAATCTGTAGGGCCAGATACTAGCACATAGTGTATTAAGGGACAAATGTTCTTCACTAGCTTCTACACTACCAAGAAAAATGATCTGAAAAGGGGCTAGGAAGAGGGCTTGGTAGAGTGTCGCACAAGCATGAGGACCTAAGTTTGGACCCCTAGAACCCACATAAAAAGTCAGGCATAGGCCGGACAATGGTGGTGCGCACACCTTTAATCCCCACACTCTGGAGGCAGAGGCAGGCAGATCTTTGTGAGTTCGAGACCAGCCTGGTCTACAAGAGCTAGTTCCAGGACAGGCTCCAAAGCTACAGAGAAACCCTGTCTCAAAGATAAAAAAAAGTCAGGCATAGTACCCCACTTCTGTAACCCTGTGCTGGGGAGGCGGAGATAGGGAGATCCTTAGAGTCTCTGGCCATCCAGCCCAGCCCATTCAGTGAGCTCCAGGGTCAGCAAGTGACCTTTGTCCATATAAACAAGGTAGAGAGCAACTGAAGAAGACACTCCACATCAACTCTGACCTCCAAGTACATGCGTACACACATGCACATGCTCCCACAGACACATGTACACACATATAACACACACATAAAATTAAAAGCCAGCATGCTGTGGGGGTTGGAGGCTCGCTCTCCCTCTGAAGATGCTGACAAGCACACCCCATCCCACTCCTATATAAAAAGATCAGAAAGCACTAAAGCAATGAGAACGTACTTCTAGCCAAAGAGAACGTACTTCTAGCCAATGAGAACGTACTTCTAGCCAAAGAGAACGTACTTCTAGCCAATGAGAACGTACTTCTAGCCAATGAGAACATACTTCTATCCAAAGAGAACGTACTTCTAACCAATGAGAATGTACTTCTAATCAACGAGAACATACTTCTAGCCAAAGAGAACGTACTTCTAACCAATGAGAATGTACTTCTAACCAATGAGAACGTACTTCTAGTCAATAAGAACGTACTTCTAGCCAATGAGAACGTACTTCTAGCCAATGAGAACTGGAGAAAGAAAATTGTCTCTGGTTAAAGATGACATGAACAGGGGGCAAGGTGGGGGTGACTCCATGGTAGAGCAACTGCCTAGCATGTATGAGGCCCCAGGTTCCATACCCAACACTGTAAAATAAGTAGCTATTTTATATCAGGAAACTTCAAAATAACAGGAAAATCACTATAGCCAATTAGGGAATTTAGTAAAGTGGAATGTTATAATTTCAATGTTCAAAAATTAATAAAACCTGGAGCTGGAGCAATGAATTAGTGGTTAAAGGTACATATTGCTCTTACAGAGGACCTGAGTTTGGTCCCTAGCACCCGTGTTCAGTGACTCACAGTTGCCTGTAACTCCAGCTCCTGGGGATCTGACGCCCTCTTCTGGCTTCCATGGGCACCTGCGCTCACAGGCATTTACCCACACAGAGACATGTTCATTAAAAATAAAATTTTATTTTAAAAATCAATAATACTTATGCACATAAATAGCCCCCGAAAAAGATACAATATGAAAAGACTTTAGGCTGGTAAGAAATAAAAATATTGTTCTAGAATTGCCAGACCACATTGAGTGCATGGTGTGAGAACCACTAAGACAGAAACGCAACATTGGGCCTGTGGCACCAGCCCGTGATTCCAGCTACTCTGAGAGCTGAGGCAGGAAGATTGAAGGTTCCAGGCCTGCCTGGGCTACAGGGTAAGACGCTCTCTCGAAAAGTAACGCAGGATACAGCTCAGTGGTAACAGGCATGAAGCCCTAGGTTTGATCTTGGGATATGGGGGTTAGGAAACAAGCCTCTAAAACTAAAGAAGCAGGCCTGAATACATGGAAAGACTCACAATATCTCTGAGTGGAAAGACAGATACCATAAAGCTCCTCCCTAGTGTAGACTCCAAGGGCATGCATGCCTTTGGGAATGTCTCTCCGTGTCTACGTGACTACTTGTAAAGTTCATTAGAACAATCAGGAACAGCCCAATGTCTCAAACCAGAATGGTTCTACCTAAATGTAAAGATATTATCAAACCTCTGCCCACTCTGAGTTGTGGTACACAAAAGAACAGCCAGACACAGGTGGCCTACGTGTGGACTTGTGGTGCATCCAGAGGCACTATGTCACGTTAATGAGGGGAAGTTGGCTTAAAAGCTGAGCTGGTGCCGAGGCCAATGGGACCAGCACCGCTGGGTGAGTGCACACACCTGGCTGAAGTGACTCATTCCAACACACAGGAAAGAAGTTGTATAAGCACTAACAGATGCTGTGATCCAGCCGAGCAGAAATCTGGGCGTCAGCAAGCCTTTCTAATGCTGACTCAAAGCTCGGAAGCAATGCAAGAATGACTGGTAAACTTAACAACCCGGAAATGTCTGTATGAGCCGAGAAGGGATGGGCTGGGGAGCTGTGGCCAGGAGCAGGTGGAGCACACTGCAGCTACAGTGTGGGTGACGAAGAGCTTCAGGACCAGACAGGAAGCACAGAACCAAACAGGGACAAGAGTCAAAAAACAAAGGATCTGTCCTTAAATGTGTGCTGACCCAGTTCTGAATAAAAGATTTTTACCAACCTGGATCTGAATAAAAGATTTTTACCACTCAAGATAGCGCCTCTCACCATCCGGTACCACTGAAGCTGGCAGCTCATTCAGTATGTGTGCTGTAAGCGGAGACTGTTAAAGCTGTGGCCTGTGCTGGTAATCACACTGCTGGAAAGGATGCTGGTGTGCCTCACCCTGGGTTAATAAGGTCGTACTGTTAGATCGTTAGGAACCAACGTTTTCAACGAAAGGAAAAAGAGACACAAGTTTCAAAAATCAAAACTGTTTAACTATAAAAGGTGAATACAATGGGCTGGAGAGATGGCTCAGTGGTTAAGAGCACATCTTACTCCTGCAGAGGACCAGAGTTCGATTCTCAGCACCCACATCAGGCAGCTCACAATTACATATAATTCCTGGTACAGGAGAATGGATGGCCTCTTCTGGCCTCTGTGGCTATACACAAAAATAAAAATAAATCTTAAAAAAAAAGGTAATTCTGAATTGTAAACATTCAGCTGAGTTCCAGATCTATTTTCTCTTAAAGCGATAGAGAGGAAGCCCCTAGCCTGCCCTGCTGGGGATCACAGTGTCTGGAGCACCTGACTATCACGAGGACTGGCAGTGTCCTCATTAAAGTGAGTCTGGGGACATCCCTGACTACAGGAGAGGAGCAGAAAATGAACCAGGTGAACCAGGAGCATCCCATCACACCAGGAAGGGAGAAGCTAGCAAGACCAATGGGACTCAGAGACCCCTACCGAAAGCTCATGAGCCAAGGATGGAGTGAGAGCAGAAGGTAGCCATGGCTGCAATGCGCTACACCCCAAATCCTGCATCCATAAAGAGACTGTGGAAGACAAGACCCATTCATTGGTCACCTTTGGAGGTGTGAGACACACACTAATTTAAATAAGCAAAAGCATCAACTACTTATTTACCTTGCCTCTTCTGTGTAAATTGTTCCTTAGGATATAGTTTTTTTTTCTCTATACAAGTATTTCCGGTAAAAGCAAAATAAAGCAAAATTTGAAGGGGTGTGCCTGTGAGCATCTCCCAGTCAACAGTGTGTGCTGGCCTGTCAGGACCAAATTGCCTGCGTATCAGCTTCATAGCATTGTGATAAAACAAATACCAGAGGCAGCCACATTAGGAGAATGTTCATTTGGTCTCCAAGTGTCATGTAGCTGAAGGGCCTATGCTGAGGGAAATATATCACGGCATACCACAATGCTTATGGGAGTGGAGGGTACCAGGGTCCCAATGCCCCCTTCAGGAACAGCTCCTCCCACCATGCCTCACTCCTTCTCAAAGGTGCTATAGCCTCCTGATGGGGCCACCCAGGGAACCAAGCCTTCCATAACTGGGACTTTGAGGGACATCCACCCAAACCGTAGAAAGTAAAAGCTCGCAGCTGGATACAGTCAGGCCCAGAGGTCTAAGAAGTAATTTACAAGAAATACAAGGGACAAAAAATAAGGGTGCTAAACAATACTTTAGCAATTGACCTGTCCAGATGGGTGGTCTGGTGTGTGCCGGAAGTGGTCTGCCAGGAAAGGGAAGCTGGGATGGGAGACCCAGAGCCAGGTGGCGTTTCCTCCAAGGGTGACAACAAATGGTCTAAAGTCACAGAGGCAATGACTGTGCCGTTTGATGCATGCACTTAAAGAAATACACTTTAGATGGGGAAATTATATGGTTCATGAGTTGTAGCTCAAGACAGGAAAGAGGAAGACTGGCTTACTAAGCCGCTGTACTGAACAGGCCACCGTAAGATTCTAGTTCGCCCAGCCGAAACCCACGAGCTACGGGGCTATCTGGTGACATTGGGCATCATGGAGCTTTTGGGGAGGTACGACAATGACACGGAGAGTGTTTTTGTTTGTTTTAGGTCCTTGTATTCTCGTTATATAAATTAAAATATTTATTGATTAAATACCTAGGAATTTCTTGAGAACATCCAGTTGCGGTAGTGCCGTGGGGAAGGCTTGGCTGGTGTTTGTAAAGCTAGGTTATGGGAGAGGTCAGCAGACTCTAAGAGCAAATTGGATCGATGCTTTTTAGAGATGCCGATGCCAGGGTCTGACTTAGTGCGGCTAACACAGAGTGTTGGTACCCATGACATTCAAACCCTGAGTAGCCCAGACACGCACCTGTAGCAGCCCCACATCTCTAGGTCTCTCTCTTCAAGGACTCCCCAGACTTCTAACCAACTGTATTACCCCAGGCCTGGTGCTGTACCTGGATGCTGCCAGTGTAGGCCATCCCGTAGCCTCCAGGCCCTAGCGATGCTTTTAGTACTGCCTTGTGCCCTCGTGGAGCCCACAGACCCAAGTACCACAGACCCAGGTATGAGAAAAGACAGTTTGCATATTGTCACTGCTTTGCCTTACAGAGCAACAGAGCCTGGAGTGGATGTGGCCTTTCTGGGGACCCGGGCTGGTCTCCTAAGACGAAGTCTGTTTGTGGGCTCCGAGAAAATCTCTGATAGGTGAGTCCTGGGCACCCTGAGGCCTCTAGGAGGAAGGAACATGGCACAAGTCTTGAGTCCCCTCAGGGCACGTAGAGCAAAGATGGTCTCATCATCCAGACCCACAGACCCTACTCTAGCAAAGTGCAGATTGTGGGAGAACCCTGCTGAGGGGCCCACATACTACCTAGTCCTCCACACCACCACAGGCAGCAGCTGTCTTCTGGCTGACTCTGCATGGAGGCGGAAGCCCAGAAGAGGGCAGGGTAGTGCCACCTGGCGTCCTAAAGCTCAGAAGGCTCAGACACCTGGAGAACAGTGACAGCCGAGCTGATGGGTGACTTCACAGGCCCATCTTTCCTCCCTCTCGCTCACTGCCCCCCTCACTACGTCCCAACACAGTCAATGGGGAAGCATCTCTGTGCCTCTCTCAGGACTCAGTGAAAATCCACACATGTTGAGCAAGGCTGCAGGCTTCCTAGAAAAACAAATTCGCTGTTTTCCCCCTTCTCCCCTCTTCTTTCCCTTCGTTAATCCCCAGAGAGGTGGGGAGAGGAAAATGGCACCCTTTTAAAAGGGCTCCTAAGGATGGGAAGCCATGGCAACACAAACGGGCCTTCCTTGAGCGATCAAAGACTCTGGGAAGCTGGGAAGAGAGCTGCCCGGAGGGCCACAGGTGCACCATGCACACCAGCGAACTCCCTTTACCTGGACCATGATACAGAGGCAACCTGGGGACTCAAGTCTGAGCTGGCAAGGCACTCACTCACTGAAACGTCAGTCCTCTACCTGTGAATTACCCACAGGTGCCACTTCATCGTGTACCCCGCCCGGCTTCGCCTACTTCCTAGTCAGCGTCTGGACCAGCCTCCCTCTGTAGGCTTGTGTGTGTTCAGGGAAAGCAAACCCATAATTAGCAAGGAAAAGCTGCTCCAAAAGGAGACTAATGTTGCGCATCAAAGCCTTTCGAAGTAACCATGTAGGGCAGTCCGTGCTTCTCTACTGCAGGGATAGAACTGGCTGTCTGGTTTCCTCACTCAGATCTGCCAGTGAGGCAGACCAAAGAAAATTACCTATACCCAAGGGACGTGTACTTTGTTGGTCACACATCTGTATCTTCCTGCTCCGCTGTCCAGCCTCCCCGCCACCAGACGTTGCAGTGTTTTGCTTCTGGAAGAAGCAGAAGCTGCCTGGGGCAATGTGTACTTAGGAACTGATGGCTCTTTTCATTCTTTCTTTGTTGAGTCTTGCTGCACAGCCAACTTAACTGAGAAGCGGGGCCACCCTCCCTCACTCTCAGAGTGCTGGGATAGGTGCATGCCTATGCTGAGCGTGAGGGTAGGGTATTTCCTGTCTGCAACTGGACCAGCACAGAGGGGAGCCTTGGTCTTGGCCCAGCCATGATGACTGCACATGTCACTGGGAAAAGGGACAAATGTCTTCCCATATCTGAGAAGGCACCAATCCTATTCTGGCAGGAAGTTCCTGACACCCGAAGACGAAGCCAGTCTTTTTACCATGGACCACTTCCCGCTGTGGTATCGGCAGGCCTCTGAGCAGCCCCCAGGCAGTTTTGTCTTCAATCTCCGCTGGGAAGAGGGACCAGGTAACCTACACCCCTGTGCTCTTCCCAAGAGTGGGAAACGGGGCCGGGATGATCGAGAAGAGAGGACGACCCCGGGGCTCCTTCCTGCCTTCCCTCCTGACACTGCAGCTTTGGAGCTTGCCTGGTGTGGCACACAGAATGTAGGCCTGCGTGTTCTCATCCCCCACACAGCAGTCAAGCTCCAGCATGGAGCAAAGGAAAGAGATCTGACCCGAAAGCCAACCAGGTGACTCCTGGCCCACATTCCCAATGTCAGGTCAGCAGGATTGATCCTAATCGCCAAGAGGCTTCTGTTTCTAAGGACCCAAGCAGCTTTAAAACTTCCTTTAAAGCTTTCGTAGCTGCCCATAGGGCTTTTCCCATCTCCACTCCCGTCAGGTTACCAAGAAGGCAACTCCCAGGACATCGGAGAGACAGTCAGGGCCAGCCAGCAGACCCCCACAGACCCAGGCCACTGGGCAAGGAAGAGAGGTAGAGAGGTGGACCAAGCTGAGGGCTCCCAGTTCCAACCCTGGTTACTTTGGAGAACGGCAGGAAAAAACACCAGGATCCTCACTGAGTGTGAGGGAATCAGACCACTGAGAACCCAGGGGCCTAAGGCTCAGTGCAGCCTTGGTTACCTTTGAGGAAATGGCAGCCCAGAGAGGCTGAGGGGCTGGTCCAGGGCCCAGGAATCTAAGAAGCAGGAAGTATCTACCAGGATACCAGGATACCAGGATACCAAGGGCGCTGAGTCCAATCCAGAGGGGCTGGGACTTGGACAGCAACTACTTGTGGAATGGGTGAATATGGTGGACAAGGGGGCACTAGCAGGCATCTCAGAGATGACAGCATTCTCTCTCTCTCTCTCTCTCTCTCTCTCTCTCTCTCTCTCTCTCTCTCTGTGTGTGTGTGTGTGTGTGTGTGTGTGTGTGTGTGTGTTTAAACTGAGGCGAGTGTGCAAGAAGTGGTGGCCTGAAGAAGAACACCACTGTGTGTGTGCGCGCATGCACACCTAGACACACACACCACAGAGAGCTTGCCCTGGGGCTGTCAGCTTCAGGAGCCCAGACTTTCCAGGGCTCCCTCTCTAGGCTGAAGACAGCAAGGGGAGCTCCGTTCTACAACCCCGAAGCTTCCTTCTTATCCACTAAGCCTGTCACTCCATCCTGTGCCGTTCCCTCCACCCACAGACCGATGTCTAAAGTGCTTTACAAACATTTCCCTACAAAAACCCCAGGAGATAAGTGCTGTTGATGGCGTCTCCTGGGGAGACTTGAAGGCTCAGAGATCTCATTCTGTGATTCGCTCAGGCTTCTCAGCACAGGAGCAGTTTTTACAGCAAGCTAGAGTCAGGTCTGCCTCAGAACACCCCAGATCTGGGACAGGAGGCAGGAGAGAAAGGAGGTGTTTTCATTCCTGGGACCCACAAAGGAGGTTCTTAATGCCAAGCCGAAGGTTTTCCCTTGGTGTACACCTGAGGCAGAGAGGCAGGTCCTCCCACCATGTGAAGGGTTCCCCTCAGGAGAGACACCCACTGATTCCATAGATGAGACCCTGGGCCCCACCCAGTCAGGGTGACAGGCTGCCTCCTGCTGGCACTGTCACCAGGACTGCCTGCTAGCTGCTAGGGGGAGCTTTATGTGTCCACGAGGTAGGAGGGCAGGTGGGTGGGGAATTGAGCTGCCAGGAGAAGAGAAGGAAGCTGGGAACCCAAAAGGGGACTGCTGAGGAGGGAGGCAGGAGCTCGCTCGCTTCCTACGCCCTTGCTCACTCGCTCAACTCGAGCACACGCTGAAAGCCACGTGGACACTTCTGGGTCTCCCATCCTCCCTAAGAGAAAGAAAATCATCTCATCTCAACAGGTGTGGGGCTGCTGAAGAGGCGGCCGGGTAGGGCAGCCTCCCAGCGGGTCTGAGGTTTGGGCAGATTGAGTGCTGCCCCCTTGAGCTGTGCCTATACCACCCTCCAGGACACTACAACCCGCCAGCACCAAGGACCTGGGCCTGGGCCTTCACATTCATCTCTCCTCTTCCTGGACTTATTCCCACAGGTCCCAGGCCATGAGACCATTGATCCCTAACCTTGAAATTCCCAAGGTCCCCAGAGATTACCTGAGTGCTTCCCACAAGCCTGTGCTAGCTGGAAGGCAGGCTACAGAGCCAAGGCTACAGAGCTGAGGATTCCTGCAGGAGTCCCCACGTTCATGCCTTAAAGGTGTTCCCCGAAACAAAGTGGTGAGGGGTCTGGTCTCTGTTTCTACTCTAGTTCCTTTGACTCTGGCCTGGTAAATTTCTGGAATCAAGGACAGCTCAAGTGTCGTGAGTTCCCAAAGTCTGGGTATAGTTAGATTCTTGAGACGTGTTGAAGATAGCAAGGTATCAGGGGAACCATAACAACACAGCCAGCGTGTGACCATGCTTGGCCCCATTACAGAGGCTCTGCTCTTTGTCTGTCTCCAGGAGGCTCTGAGGACTGGTTATCATAGGCAGTGTTCACCACGAGGGCATTTGACAGGACAGGACAGTACATGATCTTGGACTATGTAATGGAATCTGACCTCTAGACAAGAGGTGGCCTTTGGAAAGCTGGCCTAGCACATGGATGGACAGAGGTCAGAGGTCATACAGCAATCAGCTGGGAAGATGCTCTCATATGGAGCTGAACCGATCCTCTGAATCTTGCTCCCAGGATAGCCTGGTTCTTCTAAAAGAAGTGAGAGGCAACCCAGGCCTCCAGGCACCTGGCAGAAAGTTCTAGAAGGGCAGCAATGAAACAGGAAGTCATTACGGTGGTGAGTTGGGTGTTACCCACAAGGATCCATGAAGCCTCATAGATGTGTTAGATACCATCCTGGCTGCTACGGGAGGCCGTTGTCCACCGCATCTGGCCTCTGAGCGGGACCATTGCTGTCACCTCTCTGCGACTCTGAAAGGCAAGGCAGGGTCACCCACCACCCAGGCATGGGATGCTTTCAGCCTGTCCCTCAACATGAGGCACATATGTGGCTCCTGTCCAGGTAGATTCTATTGTTGACTTGACAGCAGACGGTCAGCTGGCGAGAAGACAGGGAACTCAATAATTGCCTTAATCAGTGGCACAGTCTTGTTAACTGTAGAAGGGCCTAGATCACCATGGACAGTGCCATCCCCAGGCAGGTGGGCCTGAGTTGTGCAGGAAAGCAGGCTGAGCACCAACCAGGGATTGATCTAGAGAGCAAGCCGGGAGTCAGCATTATCCCACTAATTTCTGCTTCCTGCTCCTGCCCTGACTGCCTGTCCTGGCTTCCCTCGACGCAGGAATGTGGCCTGGAGTGGAAGATGAAATCCACTCTTTCCTCCCCAGGCTGCTTCTGGTTGTGGTGTTTATCACAGAAACAGGATAAGACAATGAGCGTATGGGAAGACAGCTGTGGCCGGGTCCTGTCACAACTGCAAGGGAGCTAAGCAGGAACAGCAGGCAGATGGGTTTGCTCCCTGGAGATGGAGCAAAGTCACAGTGCCACCGTGATGCCAGAATCACTTGGCTCAGGCTGGCAGGGGCTAAGAATTAATCCCCGCAAGTTCTGATTTGTTCAGATTCGGGGACAGCAAGGGACCTTCAGGACACTGTTGAAAGATGGGTGGTGGGCAGCAACAAGCCATTGTCAACAGGATTCTTCTCCGACTTCACCCTTTTCAGGGAGAGCTTATCCTGGAATCCCTATTTGTCTCCTATTCCAAAAGATAGGCTCACCCCAACCTCCCCCTGCAGGCACCGAGAATAACGATCATTCTCACTTTCCCAGATAGCCCAGGCAAGCCAGTGGCGGTAAGGGCCAGCACTGCGGTAACTGTGACGGTGGATGGGAAGACGGCCATTGCGGCAGGTAGGCGCTACCCTGAACCTCTGAGGTAGGAGCCCCAAGGCAGTGTCAAGGTGAGGGCTGGCAGGGCGGGGCTGGCTCTGCCAGAGCACCTGTCTAGCTGGCCTGAGGCCATTTCCATTCCCAGCACCACACACCCAGGAAGAAAGAATAAGATGCCCTGGATATGTGGATTCTAAATTTTCCCAGGAGGAATACCGGGGACAGGAAGTGGATGCTTACGTCATTTTGTTTATAAAACCATAAAACCAAAAAAGATTCACAGAGTAAAATGAAGCTCAGAGAGGTTAAAATACCTTCTCAAGGTCACACAGGGCAGGGACGACCTGACCTCTATCCCTGAAACACTGACATTACCTTGAGCTCTAGACCTGAGCTCATGACTCTGCACTTTCTACCTGGAATTCAGGGTAACCTAGGGAGCCCATATTACAGACAAAGAAACTAAGGGATGGAGGAGTTATTTGTCCCGAGTCCCACAGCTAGTAGTAAAGCTAGATCCTGGACTCAGAACACCTCTCTTTGGGACCCAGGGTTACTCCCTGCTGTTTGCCTCCACTTCTAAAACAAAAGCACCCGGTGGGCCTCATAAGCTTGGCCTGACTTTGCAGTTTCTGGGTGGCAAGGACAGTCCTTGGCATCTGTGCCTTGCTCTTTGAGCGTCTGTGATCACGCCCTCCATGTTCTTCAAGAAGCTGTGCAATCCATGGTCACTCAACCTGGTGGAGCTGGGGTGCCAGGCACCTGTCTCATACCCCAGGAGCCTGGCCAGATGGGAGGCTAGTGACAGACAGGACCCTGGCCTCTTCCCAAGGCTGGGAGTGTCTAGGGGAGGAACAGGAGGGGCCGGCCTGAGTTTCCTCAAGGAGCCCTGGCTGCCCAGAGTCAGGGTTCCTGTGGATTCCCTCCCGGACTGAGGTAGGGGAAGGTGGCTCAGCAGCACATCCAGCCCAGCATCCCTGGCAGTCTGAAAAGTGCCTCCCACCCTGCAGAGAGGATGATTATATCCTAGCAGCTCTTCCGGAGCCCATGGCATGCCAAGCCCAGGCCAGCTGTGAGGCTCACTTATCTAAAATCCTCCTGTGGTTTAGTCCCAGCAGATCCATGACTACCTTGTTCTGCCTGGAGGTGGCCCTCTTGGCCCCTCTACCTTGAAGACCCGGGAAAGGAGAGAAGGGATATGAGGCCAGGCCACTGACTGTGCTTCCCCACACTCCCCAATTATCTGATTTAATTTTTAACTCAGAGTTGAGTTAGAGCCAGGAGGGGTTGCCATAGAAACCGTGTCCCAGTGCCTCTGGTTGAACTCCTTCAGACAGTCCCTGTGACGCTCAGGGTACACGGCTGTGACAGAAAAAGCATGAGGCGTTAGAGACCTGACACCGCGAGTTCACCTGCATCTCATTCTAGATTTTCCTCTCCCTGGTTCCGGGCACCACCTCCCTGATCCTGGAACCAGCTGGGACCGTCAGCCCAAGGACAGCAAGGTGGCGTGTCTGCTGTCCCTGGACGCTGGGGTCTTGTGTGCTCTCCAGAACAGGCTGGCATGCTGCACAGTGTATCAGCAAGGGCTGTGTCAGAGACCTGTCCTGCTGTCTGGAGAGGCTTGGGTCACCTTAGGGGTCTAGACAGACAGGACTGCCACCCTCTGAGCACTTCCCTCTATGAACCGTGCCTGTGACTTCAGTAGCAATGTGTGCTCTGCAGGGGACTCAGAGGGGACCAGATTTGGCTCTGCTATAGAGAGACCAGAGGAGGGTGAGCCTACTCTGACCACACCTAGAATGAAAGTCTCTCTGGCTGTGTGGCTTTCTGTACCCTGGGAGTTTATGTCTCCCTGAGGTCCGTTCCTGACTTAGTGAGATGTCAGCCCAGGAAAGCTCGCAAGGTGAAGGTTCCACATGAGTCTCTGGAGATGAACAGAGTTCAGAACCACTGGCCTAGAGGACAGTCCTGCCCTGGGGGTGACCAGCAATCCCAGAGGCCATGCTTTCTTCTTCCTTCCCTTTTTGGCGCTGCCCTCCCAGCTTTCCCATTCCTAATTCTATCTCCCTACTGGCTGACAGGGGCTTATTTCTAGGCCTAGATGTGGGGTGCTTATGTGGTACTGAAAGGCTAAGGTGACATTCGCAAAACTCCAGGAAGCTCCCACAGACCCCAAGTGAGGCAGCCCTTAACTAATCGTCTTGCCTCCTGGCAAGACAAGGGTCCTCAGGCAAGCAGAGACCACCTTCTGTGCAAATGCAAGCCTCATACCAATGGATTATCGTCCGCCCATGGCTGCCAGGACAGAACGGTCAGGAGCTGGGTGGACGCCCTAGGTGCAGAGCTAGCAAGGTCTGCTCACCTCGGTTCCACGAGCTTACTCTTCTCTGAGACTCCCATTTGCTGCCGCCAGACTGGAGCATACAGGTTTAAAATCCCAGCTCAGTCTTGCCCGGAGCTTGTCACCCTTGTCCTGAGCCAAATCCTCCCCAGGATACTGCCTTCACATCCCTCTCAGCCCTGAGGTCCTGGATACTGAGCAAGGGACCCATCTGTCACATAGAGCTCTCTGCGCCAGGGTGACATTCCTCTACAAATGGCTCGGCTGTCTGGCGACGCAGGGAGACAGGACACCAGTCTCCCCATGCCCACATCCCCTCCCACCCAATGAAGCAAGGAAATACATAGGAAAATAGTCTTTATTGGTCTTCTGAAACAACAAACCAGAAATATAATTTTGCCTTTAAAAATCTTCTGTCTCAGGCTAAAGATATCACCACTGACAACACCCTCCCTCCCCCAGGCCCTTAGAAAAATCCCTGCTCTGGGATTGGCCCACCAGCCAAAAGAGGAAGGAAGACTGTGGCCGAGCCTAGAGGATCCTGTGCCCTCTGTCTGTCAGCCAGAGAACAACCTTGAAAACTGTCCTGAGACTCCCGGTGCACACCCCTGCGAGTAGAGTAGGTGGTAGAAGAGAAGGAGAAGGATGCCAGGTTGTCCCGATGCCCTGTAGACACATCCTTGGTACCTGTGTCTAGCTGGCCTCTTTCTGGCTACCAACAAGGCCCTGCTCAAGGCAAGGTCTCAGCCTAGCATCTTCAGCAGAGGGATACCAGTCTCTAAGGAGGGGACCGCTGAGAACAGAGAGGACAGCAACCCTGAAAATGTGCACAGCCCCAGGGGCAAGAGTCTCCATCCCAAATAGGACCGCAGCCCCTTTTTAGCTTGGCCAGCCCAGGTGCAACTGCACACTCCCTGGAAACCAGGCAGAGCCTATGAACCTCTGGGAAAGGAAGTCCCCGCTCTGAGGACTCTGAACAGAATGTAGCCATCCTGTTCCTGTTCCTGCAGTCTGTTAGGAATGTGTTGAAGGCAGCCAACCTTGTTGAGACCTACTGCCTGATGTCTGCTCTCCTAAGGTGAACCAGCAATCTCAGAGCACAGCCCAAACCCAGCCTGGAGGTCACAAACAAAAGATGCAGATGACAGCAGGGACAGGAGAAGCAGAGGAACAGAAGTGAGGCTGCAGGAGTGGAAACTGCTCAGGGTGCCCGGGACCTGGTAGGGTGGAGGTTCCTAGGCATACCCAGGGGTCTGCAGCTGAACTCTCAGAAGCCTGGAACTTGTCCTGCATTCACGCACAACTCCTGCGTCTCTGGTCAACCTAGCAGGAGAGGTGCTAGGGTTGCCATGGCAATAGGCAATTCTTCCAGCAGCATGCTTTGGCCCACTTTAGAGGGTCTCAAAGGATCCCTGTGTTGTTGTCCAGGACCTAACCCCTGATGACATAGGAAGACTGTAGTCAAGAAGTAAGAGAGACTATGGCCTCTGAGCTGAAGGGACAGCAGGCCTCGGCCTCAAGTTTTCATGGCCTCCTTTCCCACCTGGTGTGTGTGTGTGTGTGTGTATGTGTGTGTGTCTGTCTGTCTGTCTGTCTGCCTGTCTGTCTGTGTGTGTCTATGTGTGTTCCTCTGCGTGTGTGCCTATATGTGTGCGTGCCTCTCTCTCTCTCTCTCTCTCTGTGTGTGTATGTGTGTGTGTGTGTGTGTGTGTGTGTCTGTGTCTGTGTATGTGTCTGTGCATGGAACTGTGATAGCAGTGCCCTGTATGTGACAGCGAACTAATATGTAGAGTAAAACCCTGTCTCAAAACCCTACACTAAAACAAAAATATAAAATTAGTAAACCCGGAGAACATAGTCAGAGGAGTCTATAGCAGATAAAGGGACAGAATGGCATCCACCCAAGGAAGACATTATAGTCACTTTGGTTTTTCTAAGCACTGGACCCAGATCACAGGGCTGGGGGGTGTTTGCACATTGGCACCAGCTGCTGAGAGCTGGACAAACTTCACACCACCAGGACCTAAGAATATCTTTCTGGCTCCAAAAGGAGTCACAGAAATCTACCTCTGGCTCCCCTGTCCCTCCCTCTCAGGCCCTAATGCAGACTGAAGTGGGAATGAGCAAGAGGTAGGGAGGGTCACCAGCTGCGCTGGCCCTGGGCAGGGGGAACGTGCTCGGTGCAGAGCGTGGTTCCGGTGTAGGTTTTCTTCCCTGTGGCCAGAAGCCTACAGGGACACTCAGGTGTCCCAAAGACCAGGGGCCCAGACAGGACCTTCCCCAGGAACCTTTGGCCAGAGGAAGTGTCTAGAAACTTGGAAAGAGACCGGGAGGCTGCTCTACTGGAGGACAGATGAGGGCCAGGGAGCTGAGGCAGGCAGTACCAGTGTCAGGCTGAGGCAGGGCCTGTGATGGAGGGAAGGGCAGCCCTTTGGTAGAAGTCCCATGGAGTCTCCTTCTGTCCTACCTGGGCCAGACAGACAGCTCTCATGCCACAGAAGAGATCTGTTTCTGATCTTCATGCTCACCCTCGGGGTCCCCCATCAGCGGCTGGCGCTTCTTGAGCTCCCGGTGGTACTTGGCCATGAGGGAGGCATAGATGCAGCCGTAAGCAGCAGCCACCACCATCATGATGCAGACAATACCACACACGACACCCGCGATGATCACTGTGCCGATGGCCCGCCGTACACTCACGGGCCGGTACCTCTGCTTTTGAGGACAGGCCGTGCTGGGCTCAGGCTCAGGCTCGGCCCCAGGCTTAGGTTTTGCGGGCTCTGGGCTGGCCTTAGTGCAGGGTGGCCCTGGAGCATCCATCCCAGCAGAGTTGTTCTCATCCTCTAGCTGGGAACAGTAGTTAAACATCTCCATGGGGACCGCACGCATGTCCTTCCCCCTTAGCTCCTTGGGTAGGGTGCAGGCAAGTTGGTCCAGGCGACCCCCTGCATCCAGGGAAAAAAAAAGAGGTGCTGAGCAGGCATCTGGAACTGGGGTACCCTCCCCTCCAAATGGGAAGGCCCAAAAAGTACAGTCCTGCCAGTAATGTAGTCAGTCCTGATTACAGTCGAGTAAGAGGAGGTAGTACCAATGGACCAAGGACTACGATAGATGTATGTCAGAGGAGGCCACCACAGCTGCCAAAGCCATTGAAAATGGGCATTGCCATTACTTTTAGTCCACAGAGAAGCTCTCATCCATCTCATTCAAGCCTATCCCTCCGAGGTCACACTGACCTGCAGGAGGACAGCAGTTCCAGCTGGAGGCATGCTCAGGACATGGCTTTGGTACAGCAAGCCATGTTCCTGCCCAGACTGTTTGTCTCCGTCTCTGCCCAGGACCTAGCTGCTTGCTGATGTCTGTGAATCCCTGCCATTGCTTTCAACACAGTACCTTGGCCTGTGTTTCTTCTCACAAAGAGGACAAAAGCCAGAGCCACTGCCTCATCCCCTCCTCCACATAGGGTTCTGATGGCCTGAGAACATCAAAAAGAGGGCATGGTATCTGCCTGGGCTGTCAGGTATCCCAACACAGAGGTATCTAGGGAGGAAACCCTGGACAGGAGACTAGAGCTGACAGTACAGTTATCAAACTACCTTTATGACACTGGGGGGGGGGGGACAGATAGGGCAGAGGGAAAATATCAGTCAGTGCCTAACTGGGCAGTGTTGGAGGAGGCTGCTTGTTTCGTTCCCGGCTGCACGGCAGCTCAGATCCAAAATAATCAAACAGAAACCACATTATTTAAAACACTGCTTGTCCCATTAGCTCTAACTTCTTATTGGCTCACTCTTACGTATTAATTTAACCCATTTCTATTAATCTGTGTATGGCCACGTGGTGTCTATCTCCCACAGGGCTACATGGCTTCTCTCTAACTCCTCCTTCTTTCTCCCAGCATTCAGTTTAGTTTTCTCTGCCTACCTCTATTCCCTGTGCAGGTCCAAGACAGTTATTATTATTATTATTATTATTATTATTATTATTATTATTATTATTATTATTGTATTCACAGCATACAGAGGGGAATCCCACACTGGGGTAGGGTATGTGAGCCCAGGACTAAGGATTGTAACCTGGGCAGACACACCCTGGGAAGTCGGAAATGGAGTCTAACTTTCTTTCGGTTTAGGAGAGGCTCAGCTACAGCATCACTTCCAGCTCCCTCTCTCAGCCCTGCCACCTCGAGTCCAATCTCACAACAGACATCCATCTTATCCCAGGATGCTCAGGATGCTGGTGGAAAGAAACACTGAGGTTTTCATTTAGTTTTTTAAGGAGGGCAAGGCTGAAGACAAAGTCTGGGAAGCTGGCTCCAGCCTGCTGTGTTAAGGGCAAAGATGCACCCTAAGGCCAGCACCAGGTCTTTAATTCTACCTGGATGGTTCCGGAAAAGCTGAAGTGCAGTAAGCATGTAACCAAGGCCACGTGGTTAGAACGAGGGAGAGCCATTAGGGCAGTGAGCAGGGAGTGACCTCATTTTCCTGCAACAGAGACCCAGGATTGAATCCTGGCTGTGTTGTCACCTGGAAATTATTTAACTTACTTAATTATGCCTAAGTCTTAGTATTCTTAGCTGCAAAATAAGGATATCTACCTCAATTAGCAGCTCGAGAGATTAAAATAGATAATGTGCACAAAAAGGTATTTGTAAACTGGGAACTAGACAACAGCATTAATCATCTCTTCACTTCAAAAACAGAATTATCACGGTGACTAACATCTCAAAGTACTTTATCGTTTGTAAAGTGTTTTTAATTAATGCATCCGAGTAGCATGGAAATATTGATTTAGTGGCTGGATGGGAAATGAATGGGGTAAGATAAGGGAACACACTGGATTATTTTTAGAATCCCAACACTGATTAGTTAATTCCACATATGCCAAGTAGCTGCCTTGTCCTGGGGCACTGACTGTGTCATACTGTGTGCACTTGATTTTATGAACAAATGAGCAAACGAGGCAGTGCTCCACTGAGCACTTCCTTTATGCTGGTCACTTTTCAAAGACTTCGTATGCATTTCCCTATTTAATTCCCGTGATCGACCTTTCTTCTTTTTACAGATATACCACAGAGATGTTAATTAACTTCTCAAGATCACACTGCTAGTAGGTGGCAGGGCCAAAATTCAAACAATATCTGGCACTTTTAAATCCTTTGCTCATTTATCCAGCCTCCCATTCCATCCCTGCTCTGCCTCCCAAGTGCTGAGATAACAGGGATAAGCCTGGCTAAGCATTTGTTCGGTCAATTCATTTGTTCATTATAGAACTTTCTCAGGCTAAAGAAAGGGAGAGGGGTCTGGAGAGATGACTCAGCAGGTAAGAGCACCTGCTGCTCTTGTAGAGGACCCAGGATCAGTTTCCAGAACCCACATTGAGTTGCTCTTAATTGCCTATAACTCTAGTTCCAGGGGAAGCCCTCTTCTGGCTTCTGAGGGCACTGCATGCACAAGTTGTACATAATACACTTGGGCATATGCACACATGCACATACAGTAAATAAATAAAACCTTTTTTAAAGTATGGGGAGAAGCCAGGAGTGGTGCTTCATAATGTTTAGGTTCGGTTTGGAATGCATAGTGAGTCCCAAGCCTGGGCCAAGAGTCTCTGGGTTAACAACAAAGAACTGTCAAGATGGCTCAGAGGATAAAGTCACTTGCTGACCAGGCTGATGGCCTGAGTTAGATCCCTGGAACATACATGATGGAATTGGAGAACCAACTCCTGAAACCACTCTCTGACTTTCACATGTGTTCTGGGGTGTGCTGTGCACATATGTGCCTACATCTGCATGTGCACACATGCATACACATGTATGCAAATAAATAATAAGTTTTTTAAAGGAGGAAATGGAAGCAAAACTAGAACCCTCTAGCTGCTTACTAAGTTTTCTGTCAAAAATTCTTAGGACAGGAAGCTGGCTCCACCTTCATAGGAAAATGGTTGTGTTTATGGGTTTCAGTCACATTCTGCCCTCATGGAAGAGGCAGGAGGCCTTATTATTCCCAGAAAAGGTGGTTGTTCCTCTTCCTGTCCTGCAGGGAAGCCCCAGGGGCCTACTAGTGGGATAAAAAGCACAGAAAAGCACCATGTGTCTCTAAGTCCCCATAGAAAACCTAAGACCTGAAAGCAAAGGTACAGTATGCCCTTAATGAGTCCTAACAAGCAGAGGGGAGCTGTGCTTGGCCTCCGCTGCCTGCAGGGAAGGAATGGCAGGGTGACCTCAGCCCAGCTCCTCACACAGGCGGGGTAGGTGGTAGGACTCACCTCTGTAGGAGAACCACTCCAGCCAGTGTTTGAACTCTCGAAGGTTACAGTCACACTCCCATGGGTTGTCCCCAACCTGAAGCAGCTGCAGGCTCGCCAGGGGCTCAAAGGTCAGCCGGTCCAGGCTCTGCAGACGGTTGGAGCGAAGGGACAAGGACCGCAGAGCCAGGAGCCCGTCAAAAAGGCCCGGGGGCAGCTGGGCCAAGCCATTGATAGACAAATCCAGGTGGCGCAGCAGCGGGGCGTGCTGGAGCAGTTCCCTGTCCAAGGTCCTGATGCTGTTGTTCCGCAGCTGCAGCTCTGTCAGATTGACCAGGTCCTGGAAAATGGACCGAGGTAGCTGGTCCAGAAAGTTGTTGGACAGGTCCAGCCGCTGCAGGTTGGATAGGTTAGCGAAAGTCCAGCTTGGCAGTACACTCAGTTTATTGTTCAGGAGCAGAAGGCTTTGGGTGGCGACGGGCACATCTGGGGGCACAGCGGTGAGACCCAGGCCACTGCAGTCCACCTCCAAGGTGCGGCTATCACAGGTGCAGGAGAAAGGGCAGGCGGGGAGCACCTCCACGGCACACAGGGCAATCCAGCAGGTGATCCCTAGGGAGGAGTCCGGAGGAGAAAGTAACAGGCTTGGGTTTTCCTGCCTCAGTTTCCCCTTTCCTGACGCATGCCCTAGTGTCTTCTTGGCCTCGTTTCTTTTAGCACAAGCTACAGACAGCTCATGGGTATTTACTGACCACACAGGAAGGTGCTCATGAATCTGAAACACCCATGTTAAAGGACATCACACTGTGACTATAATAGTCACCTTTGTCAGCGGAGTGGCCTGGAGGACAAGCCATACAGGTTCTCGGGTCCTGTTCACAGCCTCTTCCACTAAGGGTCTCTGAGCTTAGATGCCCGAATGCTCCAAGTGTTTACAAAGTGTAGTATTTTAAAGTACTAGAGCAATTTCTTCAAGTCAATGGCCACTAGGCTTGGGTCTTTCCTGTGGAAGCCCCAACCCCACCTGAAGCAGCTTCACGCTGAGAGGTGAAAGGGGCCCACAACATGCCCTATGGCATCTTATGCTGCCTCATTTACCTGATTCTCATGTCTAAGGTGGGACCCAGGCCCGTCTGTGATAACACTGTGATATCACAGAGCACTGTGATAACAGCGGGGTAAACCAGCTATTTGCAACGCTAGAAGTCTGTACAGGATTGGCCCCATCTACACTTGAACTCTGGAGCCCCCAGGCCTTCTAGCGTTAGGGTGCAAGGTAGCATTTCTGAGTGGGTCAAGTGGCAGGGTTCTTGCCATGTCTTGTTTTGGTCCAAGACCCTTCTGAGTAAAATATGTGGATCCAGCCTATGGGCTTCTGCTGGAAGTGAGCCCCGAAATGGGCCCCCTCTGGTGGTGGTCCTGTAGTCAGCCCCGCTGCCCCAGTGCTAGAGAAGCCTGTCTTTCTGGGAGCCTGGGAAATAGCTCACACAGTTCTGTCTCCATTGAATCAGCTCCACCTTGGGTCCCAAGGAAAGCCTCCAGATGGAGAACTGACCAAGTCCAGCCCAGCTGGCCCTACTTGAGTGGCCGGCAGCAAACCCAACCAGGGCACCTAGATGAGACAGTCTCCAGTCTGTCTGGTGGGTGTCTAGTCATCTAAATTCCAGAGGGCAGAGCTTGAGGAGACAAGATGACACTCTCCTGCCCTTTCCTGTGGGATTAATGGCAGTGAAGAATACACCATGAGACTGACACCTGAGTCACTTTGTTCCTGATGGGAAAGGAGCACAGCTTAGCTATTACAGTCACCCGGAGATCTCTCCTTGCTACCTAAGACCACCTGGAATGACCTCCACCTCTCTGAGTCAGCATGCCCCACACCACACACATGCACACACCACACACAGAGAGACACATACACACACACACATGCACACACATAGGCACACATATGCACATAAACACACACCACACAGAGAGAGAGACACATGCACACACACCACATATATATACAGCCCCCACACACATACCCAACATATATACACACATACTCACACACACACACACACACACATACACACACATCCCACACACACATACACACAAACACATACACACCACACACACAGAGAGACACACACACATACACCATCTGAACATCAACACTATGTTTTACTTTTAAGGAGATGCCAAGTGTGATGTACACATCTGTATTCAGTACTTAGGAAACTCGGGCAGAGAATCACAAGTTAGAGTAGTAGCCAGCACTACATAACAACTATATAAAGAAAATGAAAGAAGGAATGAAGGAGGCATAGAAGGAGAAAGAGAAAGAGAGAAAGAAAAAAATTGAAAGAAACCAGATAGGAGAGGAGAGGAAAGGGGAGGGGAAGGGAGGGGATATAAGGGATGGGGAGGTGTGGGAGGGAAAGGAGGAGATAGGAGGGAAGACAGGAGGAGGGGAGGGGAAGGGAAGAAAGGAGAGGAGAGGGGAGGAGGGAAGGGGAGGGGAGGGGAGAAGAGAGGAGAGGAGACCTGAGGAGAGGGCTCAGCCCATTGCCCCTTGAGGACCATCAGCATCAGGAGCTACACTCTACACACTTTCTGGTGAATAGACTTAGCCACTGGAAAGGGAGGAAACGAGGCCTCTCCCCCCACCCTGCCCCATCCACCTCCGCCAAATTCAGAGCCGGCAGCAAAGCGACAGGAAAACATAATCCTGTGCTGAGAGGTGTCAGCGTGAGCCTAGGACGAAAGGGATCTGAGCCCCTCGGATCAGCCATTCACCTGGTGAATAATTCAGGCTGTGCCATGCTAGGGCAACTGGACCGAAGGCCGGGGGAGGTCAGGCAGAGCAGTGTCCCTTTGGGTCACTTCTTACTTTTTACTGTATAGCCGTGGGCAAACCAGCTAGGGCTGACCTTATCCCTTTGAAGAGAATTTTCACGGACAAGGCTACTTTCACTACCATGTAATCTTAATGTGCGTGTGTACAGGGAGGAAAGGACCCAGTCCCTATGACTTCCACTGCCGCACACCAAGAACTCCCAACAGAGCTGGGAAGAATGCAGGAGAGATCCTGCTGGGGCCTCTGGGTTCATCCAGCAGAGGAGATGGCTGGGGCCATTGGAACGACAGTTTCCCTAATGGCTGAGGCTGACTGGGACTGCAGCCCAGGAGGAACTGATCTCTGTCCCAGCTCAGCACATGCTGCACATAGCACAGATCCAGCTAAAAGGAGTGGAACTGGACCACTCTCCAGCAGAACCCGTGGCTGGCGACTGCCAGGGAATGAGAGGCATGAGGCAGAACCAGCTGTCTAGACTCCCTCTCCCCGCCTCAGGAAAGCACCACAAATGGACTGTCTTTACTTAACAAGGCTGTGAGTCTGAGCCTCCAAAGCAAGGCCTTGGGCACCCAGGAAGGTCAGATATCAAACTGTCATCCCCCTGCCCCCACGCTGGACCCATACTCACAGGAGACCTGCCTCCACTGCAGGGCAAGCTTGTTCCTCTGCTCTGGGCCACCGCCTGGTGCCAGCATGGTGGAACCCACAGTCTCTGCAGCTCTGAAGAGAGAGAGCCCCTGAGCATGCACCAGTTGTCAGTCCTGAGAGAGAGAGGAAGGGAGGGAGATGGGTGGAGAGAAACATTTGGAGCCTGTTCCAGCCCAGGGGTTAGGGACAAGGCCCAGGTGTCCCTTTACACTTCTCATTCCCTCTCCTGTTGCTCGCTGTGATACTCTGTAGGGAGGAGGGCAAGAGGAGCAAGCAAGTTGTTTGCTTCCTAGGGGAACTGGAGGGGCACAGTAACTCCCAGCTGAACCCCAACTCAGCCCCTTCTTTTCCTCCCCTGTCTTTCCCTGACTCCCCTGGAGTCTCTCAACACCTTGGTGGGCTTTACAAATGATTTCCCTGCAATATTGCTCCCTCCCCCCCAGGCTTACCATGTCACAGGTGGGAAAATTAAAGCACACTTCTCCTAGGTAAAGGAATGAGCCCCCAGCTCCTACCTGGTCCTCTCATTTCTCCACCGGGACGCACCCCCTCCCCAGCTTACCATAGCCCTGGGAAGGCAGAGGCTGGGCCCTTCCCTTCGTAGGGCTTGCTGGCGGGATGTGAGTTGCTGTGTGGCCCCTGCTTCTGATCCCGCTGTCACCTGGAGGTGAATCACAATGAGCTGTCTTCTGCCCACTAGCCGATCTGTAACTACTTCAGCTTGGGGTTGTGGGTGGGTGAGGGTTCCTGCTCATCGGCCACTGGCCCAAGAGAAACTGAGGCCTAGAGAGGGTGAAATGGCAGAGGGTTAGAAGTATGTTAAGTGTAGGCAGCAGGTCACTCTTCCAAGGCAGAAGTGGGCTCCCTATCCTTTCTGGGGCCTGCCACAACCCAGAGTCTCCTGAAGGGGACCCAGGCCTCCCTAGCACCCCAGTTTCCTCCAGACATTGGTAAGAGCTATGAGATGGGGAGCCAGAGCCTGCACCTTGTCATCTCCATCAGAGGGGAAGCTAATACCACTGCAAGGCACTAGGGACAGTGGGAACCAGAAAACGGTCGGGGGGGGGGGGCTATCTTGTACCCCAGCTCCCTTTTAGCACCCAAAAGTCACTGTTTCTGGAACCACTCCTCCCAGGATAGCAGCAAGCTTGGCCTTTTTGACTACCATGGCCTCTGTATAGTTCCAGTGTCAGCCCTCAGTTCCGGTTAGTCCCAGAGCTCCCAGCAAATGGCAGAATGGAGCTGACTCTGAGGAGGTGACCGCAGCTGCCAGGGTGTTTAGAAGGATGTGCGGCCTGGCCAAGGTTTCCTTCGGTGTTTGGGGAACACTCCTATTGCTGGGGTGGGCGTTCCATTTAGAAGCCTGTGCGGCCTGGCCAAGGTATTCTTCCATGTTTAGGGAACACTCCCAGTGCATTCTCCCACCCTAACCCCATTTTGTTGGTTTACTGTTTTGTTGTTTGTTTGTTGTCTGAGCCCAGGCTGTCCTAGAACTTGTTCTGTAGACCAGGCTGGCCTCAATTTTACAGAGATCTGCCTGCCTTTGCCTCCCAAGTGCTGGGATTAAAGGTGTGTACCATAATGCCCAACCCCCCTTTCCACTCTCTACCTCCACTCCACCCCACCCTAGTGATCTTCAGGAAGCCACCAAGGTGACCACATGCTGCTGTGCCCTATGCAGCCCTCAGATACTCTGCTCTGCTCCCAGCAAGGGCAGCTTGCTCAGTGCCCCTCTGCCAACCTTGACTTTACCTCCCCCACTTCCCAGCGGGGAGGCAACAGCTTGTAAAAAGTCCAGCAGGTGTTGTACCCCAAAACTGAGCATGGCTGTAACTCAGCCATGGAGGCTAAGGGCAGAAGCCTGGCCCTTGCTGCCATATGTGTGGGTTACGGTGGTTACAGTGTCTTGACCTCAGTTCTGGTATTGTTCTGGCTCAGGGACACGGGCAGAGTCTGTGGTTCAAATCCATAACCTCCATCTCCTTCCAACACACTGCAAACTCCGCCCTAGCTTTCCAACAGTGACAACCCGACGCTCAGTAGGTGGGAGCAGAGTGGGCACGTGGGAGGCACACATCACCTAAGGAATTTTGGCAAAGGCTCCCACCTCATCTTGAGCCCATGATGGGCATCTTCATCATCACATGAGGTCAGTCTCACAGCCGCATGAGCCCGACATAGGCTGTGGCCAGTCACAGGTGCCCATTCCATGGCACGCCCACCGTATTCTGATTCAGTAGATTTCTGCCCCTTCTATGCATGCCCAAACAGACCTGCCCTCTGAGAAATCTCCCTCTCAGTATGGCCCCCAGCCCTGACCTTCTAAGCAGCAGTCATACTACAGGTCATAGCACCTGTTAAAGAGCAGGCAGGTTACAGCCACCCAAATGTGTAGCTATCAGCAGTTTACCAAGGTTACATGGTAAGTGAGGATGGGTTACAGCCCTCTGAGTCAGACTGTTTACCCACTTCCTGACGGCTGTCAGCCTGCAGGAGCCCAGGAACGGAAAGGCTTGTGTGTGCATTGTATGCAGCAGAGAGAGGTGGGCACAGAAGGAGAAATATGCGACTAAGCATGTCATAACACGTGTGCTTGCACACATGCCTTCCCACACACAAATACCAGATCTGTGCAGCTAGGCGTGTACATAGGCACATACATGCACACCCACACACATACACATGCCTCGCTGGCAACATTCCAGCACTTCATTCAGGCAGCAGAGGGATGCCTCACAATTCCAGCAAACCCCCAGCAGGGGGACACAGGGACACTTCCAGCCTGGTAGGAAGATCTGCTGAGAACCCCACAAGGCAGCCACGAAGACAGGCCAGTTTTCTTGTTCAGCCTAGGTAGCGCTGAAGGCCCAGGGCAGCTCCTGCTCCCATTTCTGTGCCCTCCCACAGGGGGACAGGCTCCACCTGAAATTCCCTCAAGGTTCTTCCACCCACTCTGCCCCTTCAGTGCCACCCTGCCTGTGATGGCCAGGAGCCACGCGTAAACAGCGCAGCCCAGGGTGTTGTCTACTGAGATGGCAGAAAGGACTCTGGTGATTGGTATCCTCTGGAGAAAAGAGGACACGTCTAGAAGACACCGCGGCTCTCTCTAGGTAGCTGATCTACCTCCTCTGATCTGTGCCCCCACCCCGTGATGTCAGTGCCTTCCAGATCCTCGGATCCACAGAGCGAGTTTGAGAGGGACGCTTCCTAGCCTCTCCACCCCAAGCCCACCCACAAACCACCCAGACAAAGATCTTTCCACCCTGAAACAGCAGAGACTCCTCAGGAAAGGGGTGACCTATATTGGAAAGCAGAGGACAGCTGCTGCTGCTGCTGCAGGCACTGACCAACTGCTGGAATAAATGAATGCTTTGGGGGAATGGGAGACAGAATAGAGTTGGAGGTCCTGCCAGAGGATCCTCTGTCCGTCCACCCCTGCCCCCAACACACACACACACCTCATGTTGCAGCTCATGGGCACTGGATTCGGGACCTGCTGGAAAAACTAGCCTATGTTTTGTTCTAGCCCCAGGAATAGAGAGTGGAGGGACAAGACTGGGCCCAGCAGGGGGTCCCAGACTCCTCTGGGCTCCAGTTTAGAGAACAGGGCTGATAAGCTAGGAGTGGCCAACCTCCCGAACCAGAAACATGTGATTTTGACTCTGATGGGCTGGTAAAAGCAGATAGCCTGGAACCTTTCAGAGATGCCAAGTCTCAGGTCCCACCCAGACTCACTAAGTGAGAATCTGCCCAGTACTAAGATCTCTGGCCAATCGGGGACATACTCAAGACTGAGAAGTATAGGACAGCACTCTCAGCCAGGGTTTAGCAGCTACCCGTCTCTAGGCCAGGGAACTGGAGACACCACAGGCTGCAGACAGTGAGCCTGGTGAAGCAGGAACAGAAAATGGCAGATATAAAGGAAAAATAAGTCTGGGGCTCACCAAAAATCTCAACTAACCTTGCCTAAGGCAGAGCAAGACAAGGGCACCAACCTGAGGGTCTCCTACAAGCCTTTACATGGGAAGACGCTAATGGCTACAGTCAAAGAACCACACGGTGTTCTTGGCATTCATACAGTCCAGTAAGATTAGAGTAACTATCAGCATCATAGGGAAACTGAGGCATGGAAAAGCTTGAGAAAATGGAAAACTATAGATTGGACTTGAGTTACATGACCACAAAGTTGTCCATCCCCCGGGTGAAGGGTGAGTCAGATCCAGGGACAGACAGCCCTCATTCATATAGGACTCTACAGTTTATCTCATCGTGTCTCACTGGAGTTGAACAAACAGCCATTCCTGTCCCCATCCTACCCATAGGCTGAATAGACCTAGAGAACCACTCCTGGCCGGGAGCTGGGGGAGATGATGGGGCGGTCCAGGAGTGAAGGGTTGGAGCGGCAGGCAGGTGAGGCAGGAGCGTAGCAGGGTGCAGTCTGAAGTTCCACGTGCTCCTACCCCAACGGCCGCTGTACCCACCAGAGCTAGGGCGTGGGTGCTGTTTCCCCTGGAAGCCCAGCTGCCCCCTCCCCCAGCCGGGAGCCGCCAGTCAGACTTGCTCTGCAGAGCATCAAGGTTAGGTTGACAGAGTACACCTGCTACCTGCTCTCCAATTTCTCCCACAGATGTAGGCCTACTCTCCCTATGATGTGCGCTCACACTCAACTAAAACCGAAAAAAAAAAAAAGCCACCTCACCCCAGGTGTGGGATCCACAACATTCCTCTGAGTTCCTTCTCAGTCACCCACACAGTACCCCCTCAGCACCTCTCAAATCAAGTGTGCACAACATGCGGCCTGTGAGTGCCCTCAGCTCCCTGACCCCTAGGCCAACTGCTATGCACACCCTCCCACGTATCTCCCCCAGATCAAGGCTTCTGCACCAATGCCAGCTCCATACACCAAGAGGGGGAGCAGAAAGGCATTCACGGGCTACTCTACCCCCTTGGTTCTTCAGGGAGGCTTGGTTAAGGCTAGTGGGTGGCTGAGCTAGGGCGGTGAGCCTGCAAGTCATCCTGCCCCATCTCGGAGGACTTCCAGGGAGCCTGGACATCTGGTCTGAGCAACTGGAATGCCATGAGGCCCAGAACACAGAAAAATGAAATGTCCCCTGGATTGATGTCACCAGTCTGGCCATGAGGCCCTCCTAGCAAGTACCCCACATCTGCTCTGCTCATCAGTTACCCCTAAGCACATACTGCCTGGTGAAGCAGTTTCTAACCACCACCCCCATCCCCGCTAGATGTCTGCTTGGGACAGCCATGCACCCTCCCTCCAGGTTCCTCTCAGCACACTGCCCTCTCACTTCCAGCTTCTTGAGCCACATTTCCTTGTCAAATTCTCCCTGCCTCTGACAGAAACCCTGGGAAGCAGAACAGGAAGGTCCTTGAGTCACCCAGCATACACCAGGGTTGCTCTGGGAAGCCAGAGAGTCCATTGAGGACCCAGAAGGCTCCCATGGTTCACTGCCTCCCTGGGCAGGAGCCAAGACAGATCATCCACCGCACACCCAAGTTTCACCCTGACTCCCCCCTCTTCCCAGCATTGTACACACATGTACACACACACACACACACACACATACACACACACACACACACACACACACACACACTAGTTCCCTCCCTCATCGCCCACCTGACCAAAGCAAGACCCTGGCTCTGGGTCTTCGCACTTGAGAAATGAAAACAGGGTACGCTTGTCCTGCAAGCAGATATATCCTCTAGCCAAACCTCAAAGAACACAGCTAGGGGGCTTAAGAAGCCCGCCTCTTTGCCTGCCCTGCCTGGTTTTCCCCGGCTCCCTCTTTTGGCAGAGCCGGAGCCCTCCTGCAGTGGGAAGGTGGGGGTGGGAGCGCTGGGCTCTTCTTGGCAGCTTGGAAGCTGATGTTGGATTTCCCTACCAGCTGGACTTCCCCCGCCCAGGGCCACATGCCGGCTCCTTCCCCTCCCCCCACCTGCTGTAGTTATCTAAGCTGTGGGCCTGTCAATCTGAGTCACACAAGGCAATGCCCAACAAACCCTGGCAGCCTGGTGCCAACATCCCCACCACCACCCTGGAATGCAGACAGCTGGGGGTGGGAGGCAGAGCAACCAATCAGAGCCCAGCCCCAGACCTGCCGGCCATACAGGAATTTGAACTGCAGATTCCTGGGCAGAATCCAGCATTATGAAATGGGCCTGGGGCTCCTGAAAACCAATGTCCTGCTCCAAGCCAGGCATCCGTGCCCATGACAGCCAAGCAGCCAGGTGAATGTGACCTGGCTGTACACTGTCCCTATACCGAGTGCCCAGTGCTCCTAAGGCGTCTGGTCCACCTGCTGCAAAGGCCATTATGCAGTGGCGGGCCACCTAAGCATCTCATGTTCCTGGTTTGTCTAGCTCTCCAGTGTGTTAAAATCAAGGCCTGGGTTTGTAAGGAAGAACTACCAGACACCCCCTTCTTCACTCCCAGCCACACCCCCACCAGCGAGGCTCCATCAGGACTGCAAAGACTGTTCCAACTAGCAAGGGCTCCTTTGCACCCTTGCCCAAGGACAGCTACCTGAGGGCCAGCAAACCCAGCCAGAGCAACTGGTATAAAGGTCCAGAGCCCTTGCCTCGCTCAGGGGGTCCTCCACCCTCCAGCCCCATTCCAAGCCTCTCTGTATGCCAGCCTGTCTCCAACACCCAAGCTGTCTCCCCCTCCTCTGGCTTGCCGTTCCTCCTGCTGCAGGGACATTTCTATGCTACCCGGGGCCATCATGTGGCACCGGCTTTGCTCTCCTCCCTGTCCCCTCCTCCCTACCCCCCCCCCAACAGAAAGCACAGCTATGTGCCCAGCACTGAGGGGTCAGAGTTCCTAATGCTCTGTACCTTTGGATTGCCCAGGTGTCTGGTCCTCCCACCCCACCCCAGCAACTGCCCTAGGAAGGAAGCCCTGCTAACCCTGCTGGGCCAGGTGGCCCAAAGTTCCCATATTCGAGCCAACCTCCTTTCGCGCCGACCCATTCTCTCTCAGAAGCTGCTCGCAACTCACCTTTTTGCACTGGGACCTGATGCTCAGACCAGGTAGCTGGACATGGGCAGCTCGGCAGGCAGAACGCGGGGATTTCGGGTCTGGTTAAGGGCAGCGGGAGCCTGGGCAGCGCCTGTGAAGGAGGCGGACCCGCAGGCTGAGCTGCCGCTGCCGGGGAGGGGGTTGCGGGGTCAGCGACAAACTGAAGCGAAAGAGGGAGGGCGGGAGGAAGACAGACCGAAGAGGGGGAGAGGCAGAGGGAGCCGAGCGCGCGTGCTCAACAGCGAGCAAGGGAGCAGAGGGAGGAGAGCGCGCAGCGGAGTGGCAGCTGGGGCGCATCTGCGATGGCGGGCACGCGCATCGGTTGGAGAAGCTCTGTGGTAGCAGGAGAGCGTTGTGGGTGAATCACCCCTGCCCCAGATCAAAGGAACCGCGCCTCCTCTCACCACCCAGCACTCTCACTAGCGGCCACCTCTGTCTGTCCGTTTGGAAGGCAGGATCTTTCAAGGAGTACAGGACCCAGACCACAGCTTCACGGACTGACTTGGATCCCAGACCTGACGGGACACTGTGTGTCTCCTGTGTCAGAGCCCCCTCCTTAAAGGCTGACTTCTTGTCCTGAGGGTCCTCAGCGATGCAGCGATGCGGAGGGAACCGAGGGCCCTCTAGACAGGGAGCTGAGCCTCTAGATGTGACCACCGTTGGCCAGGACTATTTAGGAGAACAGGGTGTCAGAGTAGGCAGCTGCCCCTGCCGCCTGGAGGACAAGATGACCGACAAGTGAGACCATGTGTCTCGATGCCCACAGGGAACCCTGAAGGAGCCAGTTCCTTGCTGGTCTAAAGGATGGTCAGACACATGAAGGGGAAAGCTGCATCCAAGGATGCAAAGGCCTCTAGGAGTCGAGACAAAACCTGTCTAACAAACTGTTGTTCACCAGGACAGTGTTCCATCCAAAGCTGAACTGAGCCAGGGGCTTAAGATAGCCAGCCTTCCCCGTCTGTAGCATGAAACCCCCCTCATTCCTTTACATCCTGAAAGTCTGTCTGTCCAGCAGATGGTCTAGCTTGTAGGTGACACAGCAGAGGTATGTGTCTCAGCGTCCTTCATGTTATATTCAGGGGTGGGGCCAAGGGCTGGAAGCCTCTTGATTCAGGATTGCTATCCAAGAGAGCTGTGCAAGTCCCCATCTACTCTGAAGTCCCCTGCACCTACCCTTCCAACAAAACAAGCTGCCACTGCCCTAACACACTCCCACCTCCTGTCTCAGGAAAACAGGCCCTTCAGGAACATGGTGCTCTCTGCCCATAGTGATCCACTTTGACTTAAAAACTCAGCTTCAGGCTGGCAAAATGGCTCTTCTAGTAGGTCACGGTACCTGCCATCAAGCCTAATAACCTGAGGTTGACGCCCCAGAAGCCACATGGTAGAAAGAAATAACAGACTCCCACAGGTTGTCCTGGGAATGGATGGACACGGACACACACACACAAGTAAACTTGACACCAACATACCAACATCCCCTCTGCAGAGATGTTTTCTCTGGGTTATTTTATGGTTCTGATCACAGAGAAATTTGGTGGCTTTCGGTCTTGTATTATGAGCTGTTTGGGGATAACTGACCTTACCCTCTCCCTATTCCTCATAGGAATATTGTTGGTTAAGTCTATACTTTTGCTAAGTAACTGGTAACCTGGAGTCTTGCTAAGTTCTTGCCTTATAGACTAAGCAGGTGGGTTGGGGTTCTGCAGTTGCCTCCAGCCCTGGAATCTTAGGACCCTGGTGCTCACTGAGTACCTGAAAGATCCACAGCTAATGCCACAGAGATCAGATCCCTCCCACACATCCTCTGTTCAGCTAGTCATAGGCCAAGAAGGTTTACCACAGGTGCAGAGGGAGTGTGTGTGTGTGTGTGTGTATGTGTGTGTGTGTGTGTGAGTGTGTGTGTGTGTATACTTGTGGTACATATATGTGTCTGTGTCTGTGGTCCGTATGTGTGTGACTGTGCTTGTGTGTATGCACGTGTATGTGTGTATCTGTGTCTGTGTGTCTGTGCTTGTGATACGTGTGTGTATGTGTGTGTGTGCATACACCATTCCTGGTGACAGAGCAATACCATAGAGCAAGAATATATTACCCCACTATGGCTCCAGCTGCCTGTAGTCTTCCTGGGGAGCTCTGTTAGGCTATGGGCCTGAATGAGAGGACATTAAAGTCCTGGGGTCTTGGAGAAAAACACAGGAATCCTGTGGAGAGTAGCAGGAGGGGAAGGCAGGAGGCAGCCTGAGGCAGGGAGGACAGGGACAGGGGAAGGACCCAGGTAAACTATGGCAGGTAGCAGCAGATCTGAGATTCATCCTTCATGGCAGCTCCCTCACAAACTAAGGTTAAGGTATAAAACAGGGACCCATCAGACCCAACCATAAGGGAAGATCACTCAATTGCACCCAGGGAAACCACGCAGGAAGCCTCCCCACCCTGACCTCTTTGCCTGTTTCTCCTCATCAAAAATTCTGGGCGGATGCAGCCACACAGCAGGTAGCAGGAGGTGACCCAGGAAGATGGTTCTCCCAGGCTCTCCAGGAAGTCCTAGAGTCCATCACCCCAGCGGAACAGGGGCACTAGGCTGAGCTGTGGAGCTCTGTAAATGTTCTATGGCGGGATTAAAACCAGGAGTATGGGAGAAAGAGCCTCTGGCAGGTCGTCTCCATTATTAAAGACGACATGTGTGCCCCCTCCCCGGCCTCCACCCCACCCTGCTCCCTTCCCACTTCTGTGTCAGCCTCTTGCCTTTCTTACCAGAAGGAAGATCCGCTTTGCTTCTCACTTAAATCTCTCATGTCCCAGTGGATTGTAGAGGGACTTGGGGCACAGGGTTAAATCTCTAAACTGACAGATTAGTGTGAGCGATAGCATGGAGTCTGGGAAGGTCTGAACCTTTGCAGTCACAGAGTGAGGTCACTGCTCCCCCCAGTCAAGTGCTGGCACAAATTGACTAAGAAACATTTACTGAACCCTGTTAAGTGACAGTGTGACTCTAGATCTAAGAATCAGGGCTCAGTCCGCTTACCCTCTGTGAACTCCACTCCATGGGATGAGATAAACAAAATCATCACTTAGAAAACAAAGCAATACGAGAGAGAGCAAGGGCGAGGAGGAGGGCCGCTTTATCTGGGGAGAGCAAGGCGATCTCTGCCAGGTGATGAGGTTGAGTTGATTATAGGCAAGTTGAGTTCTAGGCAGGAGCATTCCGGGAAGACGCTTGATGAGAATATCCTGGAGTATGAATGAGCTGACCCTGTTTGAGGAAGACAACTCAGGCTGAAACCAAAGACACCAGCAAGGCTGCCTCATGGGTTTGCAGGGATCTAAATTTTGCTCTAAGTGGGAAGGCAGGATGGGGTCAAGTAAAGAAGTGATGGGTTTTGGTCTTCTGGGAGATGACTGTGGGCACGTGGAGAAAGGCCAGAGTGGGAATCCGGGACCCTAAAGGCACAGGGCAAGAGGATGTTGGCTTGGCCGCCGTGGTCACAGCAGAAAGTATTTCTGTATGGAATCCTGGAACCAAGGTCTTCAGAGCCTAGGTGGACAAAGAGAAATGGCAGTCGTGGGAAAAAAACGAGCCTTGGAATGCAGACTATACAAGACTACTTCAGGTAGAGGGTAGGGTAGCTTCTGAACACGTGGAAATGCTTTGGGAGCTCACACTAACACAGTGGTTTGGGGAAGCTACTGAGATATTCCTAATTCTGCAAAGGCTAGACAACTGACTTTGTGGTAGAACCACCACTAACCTGCCCTTTGCTAAGCCCTCACGTCTACCCAAGTAGCCCTGAAGTCTGGCTTTCGCTGAGGCAGAATCAAACCCTACCTTCTCCAGACTTCCCATATGAGAGTCACGGAGCTTGGAAACTGTGTGAGTCTGTGGGACACACCCTGAGCTGCAGAAGACAGAGCTAGAGTCCCAGAGTGGCTCTAAAGCCAGTCTGGGACCCTTTAACCACTGGAGCCAGGGAGGAAGTTGGAGCTGACTCTCCTCAGTATCAGCGCCGCCGCCCTGTAATAGCACTCCGCTCTGAAGCAGAGTTCAGCCCTGTTGCTGTAGGTGAAGTCTGTGTGTGATGAGCTCCTAGGGGAATCCTCCATGAGAACAGGAGGAGAGCAAAGTGGGGCCGCTGCACCCTCAGAGAAAAAGGTGAACCATGAGGAGCACCACACTGGCTGGAACAGAGCATTTGCCCACTTGGGATGGCATGTCACATCTGTGTTTCCCACGGATCTCCCTGCCCCCTGCCCCCACCTACCCCTCTCAGTCACCTGGACCTTCAAGCTCAGCTGTCACTTTCACAGAGGCTTCCTAGACCTCAGAAATCCCGAGAGTGTGAGGGAGGGGAGGGGCCTTCTAGGACCTCAGGTGTTGCTGTTTTAACTGCAGATTAGCCGCAGGACGCTACTGTCCAATGTGGAAGTTGCCATCTATATGGGATTAGCCACATTTACATTAAGATAAAATAATACTAAAAACTCAGGCCCTCAATTACAAGGGCCATATATGGAGCAGCCATAGTGATTAATGGCTACAGTTTGGGAAAGGACAGCTGTAGGCATCCCCAACATCTTATAAAACCCATCTACATGGGGATGCTTGGGGTCAGGGGCTTCTGGGACCTACAGCATCACCTATTGCCACGAGAAATGCAGGCTCCCAGGCCTAGGCAGACTCCTGGGTGGGAAACTCTGAAGTGACTTTCACCTGCCCTTCAGGAAGCTTTGGTCTAGAATCCAGATCTTGCAGCTTCTTCCCCTGAGTCTCAACTTAGCAAAACCCTGTTTCAAAATGAGAAACACCAAAAAGGCTGGGTCTGCAGCTTAGTGGCAAAGACAATCTCAGTTCATTGCTGACATAAGCCAGATGCGGATTGTGGCCCTGGAGAACCCAGGGCAACAGCTGCACGGCTGGAACCCTGCTAGCATGGCTACTCCCTAATTCCTTTCCCTGTCAAACCTCCCCAGGATACAGGTGCATCGTGGAAGAGCCACGAGGCCCTCAGAATCAGAATGGCATCGAGTGACTTTAGACTTTCTTAGGCAGGTGGCATAAAGATTGAGAGCCCTGAGCTTTTCTATGCTCAGTATGTATGAGAGGCCTGCCGACAGGCTGCAGGCCATTTTGCCTGCCAGGCCTCCGAGCCAGACACAGAGGGAAGAACTCAGAGCTATGCGTTAGAGGTTCAGAGCCTGTTCATTTGTTACTTCCTGGTTGGCAACTTAGTTGAGCCACATGGAACCCCTGCTCTCAGCTCTGTTCCCTCATCCCGTGAAGTCTAAATGGGGCTAGTGCCAGTCTATGAAAGATTAAATACCCTTATGCCTGTCAAGGTGCCTAACTCACCCAAAGCCCCCAAAATGCCTTTAATATTATTCTAGGTACTAAGAAGTTGGCCTACTTTGAACACTCTCTTTCCACCCAGCATAGCCAGCCTTTTCTTTCTATTCTTTGGCCCCAAGTTCTCCTGTCGCTCTTTGTCCCAGATTTCTCTTAGTATGTGAGTGCCCCCTTGGGTTCTCCAGACCTATTTGGGAATCAAAGAGGCAGATGGCGCTTGTGTTGGGGGACATCAAAAGGGAAGCGTTTGTGCACTGGCGGCATTCCTGGTCTCTGGGAAATGGCCTTGCAAACTTGGGTGGGCGGCTTATGGCTCAACCTCCGACAACTTAGTTCTCTTCCTGAGCGCCTCCAGGGACTGTGCCTACAGGGAGTGGCAGACCAGGACTGAGATCCACGGGGCCTCTGAGTTTCCAGACTTAGCTTGCCACTTTTGGTCCCGTGATCTTGCACAAACAGTGCTAGACAACCTCTCTTTTCACGCATGTCGAGGGAAAAGCACCAGCCAGCGAGTGTGCCCTGAGCTCCCAGCGACCAAAGAGGAAGCCATCCTCACAATTCTCTGGCCCTAGAGTCTTTCCTTTCTCGGGCATCTCTTGGTATTGCTTCTCCCACAGGGAGCATCTCCTGGCCTGGATCCCCTCCTCTGATCCCCTGGGTCCTATTCCAGAGGCCCTAGATTCCCTTGCCAGTGACTAAGGCTCCATCATTCCCCCCTGCCCATGCTTGTCTCCCCACAGCCACTGCCACTGATAAGCTTTCTCTCTTTAAGTGGATTCTATTCTTTTCTGCTCTCACTGTTTCCTCCTTCCCCAAATATCCATCTGGCCTGGCCCCTCCTCTTTCGTGCTCTCTGCAGGTGTGGGCGTCCAGATGCAAGTGGACTACATCCAGCGCCAGTTCTGGGCGGCCATGAAGCAGGTAGGCATCATAGGGAAGGGCTGTCCCCACAGCCTGGCCCAGCAGTCCCACAGGAGACATCACTCCATTTCTGCCTTCCCTGCCCTTCTCTGGACCCTGCATAGTGGGCTTCTTCCCCCACCCCCCACTCCAGTGCACTCTCCCCTGATCAGACCCAGGGCAAAGGATAAAACAAGGCCACTGCTGTTGTCCCCAAACTACCCTAGCCTTGCCTGCTACAGAGTAAATTAGAACTTCACTTGACCCCTCCCTCTAAGGATACACACACACACACACACACACACACACACACACACACACACACCAGAAATCTTCACTGTCCCCTGTATGTCCTTCTAGCCTCAGTCATCCTCTCAGGGAAAAGTCCCCTCTACCCCTTCACTCCAGGCTGCTAGGTCCCTGCCTTGGGCACAGTGAGCTGCGTAGTGAAGGTAGAAAGGCCACAGAGGTGAAGGGGACCAATAAGAACCCACTCACCATGTGAAAGTCCTAGTGCCATGCAGGCAGGTGGCCTGTGTTTGTCCTCAGAAGAACACAGCCTGCTGCTCAGTTCCCTGCCTGCTGGGAGACACCTACATGTGTGTACATGACTGCCCTCGTAGACTCCGCTTGCCAAGGCAGGTCCTCCACATACAACAGGCTCTTCACAAATGTGCCACACAACGTGTATATACAGACACACATACAAGCACGCACACAGTACAGGCAGACCTTCCTCGTACAAGACACAGTCCATATGTATCCACATACAACAGACTTCATAACCATCGCACACTGCACATGTATAGGTATGCACATGTTCACAGGTTATACATACCACATATACCACACACAAAATATATCCAAACACTCCACATACACAGCGCACATAGACCTACCTTTAACACATACACATTGTGTACATATAGATGCATAGTTCACATGATGCTACACATAGGCACACACACACACACGCACGTGCATTTGCACCCACAAGACACACACTGTTCAGTGTCCTCTCTTCCTTCCAGTGCAGCGCTGTGGAGGGTCCGTGCCTGAAGAGCTGCGAGGACACTGTAAGTGACTCCTGAAGGTGGCACAGGCGGAAGTTCACTGTCCTGTGTCCCCCTGTGAACTACTTCCCTCTTTCCCGAACACCTCCTTCCTGAGCCTGCCTGCAGGGCTCAGCCCTCCTCAGCCCTTTGAGTGAGCAGGAGGGCTAGAGCCAGCCATGGCCCTGGCTATGACCTCCTGTCCTGGCCTCTCCCCCAGGATCTGGATTGCTTCCTTATAGACAACAATGGCTTCATTCTGATTTCCCAGAGACCCCATGAGGTAAGTGACCGAAGAGGTAATTGACTGAAGAGCCAGAACTTAGAGAAGAGGACGGAGGGGGCGGGGGAGCCAAGACCCTTAGCAGCTTCATCAGCCAAGCAGGCCAAAAGCTGGGGCCTTCGCCCCACTTTGGAGCAAATCTGGGTGGGAAGAAAGGAGTTGCCCTCCATCCAAACCACAGAGCAAGGGAACAAATGCAGAGCGGCCTTCAAAGGCAGAAATACCTCTCCCTGTTAGCTGTGACTAAGCTGACCTCTCTGCAATGTGACATGTCACATCTGGTGAGGCCACTTGACAGGAACACTGCTCAGGGAGGGCCTGGCTGCACTGCCACCAAGTGTCCTGCTCCCTCCCCTGCACAACCACGGGGACTTTCCCCACCCCTGAGCTCCTCTCCTTTCTGGGTCTCCTTGTAGAAAATTTCACTGCTGCCACCAAGCCAGGGTGCCAACAGGCTAGCAGGGGCATGGGGCAGTCCTTACTTTACCCAGCAGCCTGCCTTCCCTCCAGCCACCTTCTCAGGCAGAAGAGGAAGCCACGATGGCAATTTTATATCTGCTCAATCACAAATCAGACCCTGAAATTAGCCAGGGATTATACTTTAAATCGTACCTTTAAAAGAAGCTTGTTCCACCCCGAGCCAAACCTGAACATAAGCACCTGAAGCAGTTCTTTGACACAAGCCCACAGCCATGAATAACAACTTTGAAATTCTGGGCCTCAGTTTTCTCCTCCAGAAAACCACAGGCTGGGTCACCAGAGGTTAGGGTTCAACCCTAAACTGGAGGCTCCAGATGCCTGGATATTACCAGAGTTGCAGAATCAGAGCTGACGCTGGCCAGGGTCCTGGCCAAGGTAGTCTCTGCCCCTCAAAGCCAAATTGTAGCCTTATCCAAGCAGAGCTGAGGGTCTGTGGAAATTGTCAGAAAATGGCAGGAAGTAGAGCCGGGGCATCAGAAGACTGGGCACAGATAGAATCAAGATAGAAGGGGACCAAAGGACCATGGAGTGGCTCCCCGGGGACAGTTCTTAAATAGCCCGCTTGTCATGCAGCAAGGGCTGAGAAGAGAAAGCAGATTTTACTGTTTCTTCCTACAGGAAAGGTGTATGCTGTCAATCAGGACACTGCCAGAACTCTGGTCAATCACTAGTCCTGGCACCCGGGTGTCTAGTCCCGCCTACCTCCTCCCTTTCCTCCCCTGCCCTTCTTCACACAAAGACAGTCCGTTCTGTCAGAAACTGGATGAAAACAAGAGTTGACTATATGACTGAAGGGGCCTAAGGACAACAGTGTCTCAGTCACTCATACGCTGGTCCCAATGCCATGCGGTCATGACTGACAGTGGGGCCTAGTCTCCTGCGGGATAGCTCAGGAGTCAGAAGGTGGCCATGAACAGGAGTGGCAGTGGAGAACCCGGGGATGGGGGCAGAGAGCATCTGGGGGCATCGGCCGTGTGAGTCAGGGCTCTCTGATGGCAACTGAGCACAAGCCGGGACAGAGGACACACGAGTGAGCAGGCACCGTCCCAACAGGATCTGCTATGGATACTGAAACATCTCATGCAATGTTCATGAGCTTGAAATATTAATGGCCTTTTGGATTTTTTTCCCTAACCATTTGAAAACAACAACAACAAAAAAAGGCTATTCTTCCATAAAGAACCCACGCAAGTCCCCAGTAGGCCGAATAGAGCTCTCATCCCTAGCTTGCCAATCGTTGCCCCCAACCCAGTCCAGCTGCGATAACCAGCAAAGGCCCACCTCAGCGAAGACGGCCCCAGGGCCCTTGGATAGCACACTGGGTTGGATTGCTCCCGTTCTGTCTAGAGCATCCCCCCCATATGCTCATGAATTGTGATCCCAGGACATCACAGAAACAGTCGGTCTGCTCTGAGGTTTATATTGGATGTGACATACATTTTCATCCCCTATTTTTAAGTGCTTAGCTTATGTGCCTTCATTTTCTCAAGTGTTGTATTATCTTATGTTTTGCATAGGCTTACAAGCTGATCCAAATCCTTTATGAAATTAAACAAAGTATAAATAAAACTAGCTTCTAGAGCGGCAGTTCTCAACCGGTGGGTCCCAACTCCTTTTGGGGTCAAACAACCCTTTCGCAGGGGTTGCCTAAGACCATCAGAAGACACAGATGTTTACATTATGATTAATAACAATTACAAAATCACAGTTTTGAAACAAAACAATTTCATGGCTGGGGGTTACCACAACATGAGGAGCTATAGATAAGGGTTGAAGCAATAGGAAGGTTGAGAACCACCGATCTAGAGGTTTTTTGCCAGCTCAAAGACACCCCCCCAACACACACGCACGCGCACACACACACACACACAAGGTTGGTGAACTCAGACCAGCTTTGTCTTGGGGTCAAGGGTAGGGTACAAGTCCCTATCACCTAGTTGCCAACCTGAGTCCTTCAATTCCTTGTCCAGGTTGCTCTGTCTCTACTCAAAACAGTTAACTGGCTCGGGTGCACTTGGCTGGGTCTCATAGAGTTACAGCCAATCCTGCAGGTTGTCGGAAGCCACGGATAAGGAATGCTGACCCCTGGGTTAGCTCTAGGATTCATGTCAGCTGCAGCTCCTTGACAGGGCTCAGTATCTCTCTCCTCATCCGGGCCTGCCTGAGACAAGCTGTAAGCCGAGCTGTGCTGGGTCAAGAGGCCACCAGATGCACAGGCCTGGAACTCAGACCAGTTTGAACACACAGATAGGAGCACACTGCTGGGTATTTGATGAGCAGCCACACAACAGGAAAGTCAGCCCTGTGTTGGGGCAACCATCCCGCAGAGGCAATCAGCTCACTTCTAAATTCTTTCCTGCCTAAGTCATATACTGAACTCCAGGCTCCAGGGCAGACCTCAAAGAACCCCGACTCCATCCCAAACTCATACCAAACTAAATGCAAGCAACCCTAGGCCTCTGGATCTTCCAGAGCTCTGTCAGCGTGTTGGCTATGCCACGTATGGGTAATCTCTTGTGTAAGGTGCCTTGGGAAGCCCCTTGCCAGCTGTGTTCCTAGTAAAGCCACATGTTAAAATCTAGGTCCTAAAATGACAAAGGACTCAAAATCCACATCGGAACCTTTCCTTTGCAGGTCCAGAATTTCAATCTGAGGCACTTATCCATTTGGACAAAAGTCAACAGTAACTATCTGTTAGGGATAGTGTTCTCCCTGTTGCATTGGCTTAAGCCAATCACAGATTATTTCATAGATCAAGGCAGCACAGGCTTAGTATGGCTTTCTGGAGGCACCAGGTATCCCCATCCTCATGGTGGCATCATAGCTGGGGGACTCTTGCCTTCTAGTCCATGTCCCAAACAGGAGGGCAACAGTGGAGTGTGGGTACCCCATCACGGTCCTCCCACTTTAAGTGATTTCCCAGAAGGTCTCATCTGGGCTTTACTCCATTTCATTGGCCAGCTCTCAGTACAAGGGTTTCTGGGAAGTGTAGTCTTTTGTGGACCACATTGCTACCATTGTTGCAGAAGCTGCCTTACAAAAAGAAGGGCAGTGGACATTTTCTGCTAAGCAGCATGTTCGAGGACATGGAGTTTTGTTTGCAGAGGCAGAAGTATTTTCCAAGGGTACTTTCTTACAGTCAGATCTCCTGCCTCAGAGCTGGCATTTAATCAGCAGGGCTGGTGAGGAATGAACCTACAATTAAGCAAGAGAATGGAATGGGCTAACAGGAATTTGGGTTCAGCCGTCCCTATTCTGTACCCAGCTTCCCTGTCTTAAAGAGCATAAGTTTCAGGTTTTACACACACACACAAAACAAACAGCCATGAGCAGGGCCTCTGGGGTGCCAAAGGGTAGAGACAGGTCTCTGCAGTGATCTTGCTCCCTGCTGATGGAAGGGAAACACACAGTCACTGGAATAGCAAAGAGCTAATCCAACTGAGCATAACTATCCAGGTGCAGGGCCTTGGAGGATGCTGGGCAGCAGGTGTCCCCGGATACTGACTGATTAGATCATGAGGGAGGAGGAATGGTCCTGTGTTATTTTGGGGGTGGGGGGTGACATTAATACTTTCCCAAGCCCAAGCTGCCTGAGGTTATCTTGGCAACAAATCCTAGGGGCAGTGAAAAGGATGTGCAAAGAAGGTAGAGATGTCCAAAGAGGGCCAGAGCCCAAGAGGTGAAAGACAAACACAGCTGATGCAGAGAAAGGCAGGGAACACAGAGGGCAATCCCAGGCTCCTACCCACCTCTACGGAGTGAAGAGGCCAGGAGAGCAAAGCTCATGGCAGAATTTGCTAAAAACTACCTTTGGCAGCATACACTACCACCGCCATCACCACAACCACCGCCACCACCGCCACCATCATTATCTTCACCGCTACCACATATTACATCTCCACCATCAGCAGCAGCAGCACCGCCGCTAGCATCACTGCTGGGAATCAAGGGCTCTGCTCAATGGCAGCAGCGTGCAGCAGCGTGCAGCAGCGTGCAGCAGCTTGCAGCAGCGTGCATCAACACCTGCCACACCAGGTGTGGCACATTTCCACTGTAGCAACTCCAAGTGGCTCACACCCCCTTTAAAAGATCCTTCTGAACATCACAGCTCTCTCTTTCTCGCTCCCCACTCCAAGATGGCCTTTCACTCACCCCCCTCCCTCAATAAACCCTTTGCATTAGATCTGTTGTGTGGCATGATCTCTTAGTGGCCCACCTTGGCCCAGGCCTGGCAAAGGTACATTCCCACTGCTTTATCCTAACAACCACGACCACCTCACCATCACCACGCACACACACACCATCCCCACTAACGTCACCACCTCACCTCCACCACCATCACCACCCCACCCCATGCAACAAAGGGGGATCACAAACTCGTTTCCTTGGAAGCTCCGACTCATGTTTAAGGAGCCCTGGACCACTTTTGGAGCACCCTCTGGGCCGATTTCGCAGTCCACTGCAGATGACAACATGATTTAGAAAGCCTTGATTGCAATGGGCAGTTGGGGGAGGGGCGGGCTGCGAGGAAGAAGGAAGGAGTCCGTGGAAGAGCAACTGCAGGGACAGCCTGGTGGTACCTCTCTCTGGTTCCCCCCTCACAGATGGGAAGATTTCTGGGGGAAGTGGATGGAGCTCTCATGGCGCAGCTTCTCAGCATGGGGGTGTTCAGCCGGTAAGTGAGACCAGTAAGCCCTCAGGGTCTGACCCCAGACACCCCCAGAGAGGCCCCAAAGATGCCTTTCTGGAGCCAGAGACTGAAGTAAATCTGGGGTGGGTGTAAGGTGCATGGCTGTCCCACAGAGTGACTCTCCAGCCTCTGCTCAGGGCTCAGAGGAAAGCACAGGCCACACGCAAGCATGCTGTCTGTGTTCTTGAAGCCATCCACGCATGGGAGTGACATTTTGGTGTGAACTGGTTCACTCCACATGGACCCTAGTCAACACAAATCCTGCAACCAAGGCCTCCAGGCCAGGGCATGGAGTGGTCTTGGCTCCGACACAGCTCGCTTCTGCGTTTCAGTGTGACCATGTATGACTACCAGGCCATGTGCGAGCCCCCAGATCACCGGCACAGTGCAGCCCAGGCCCTGATCAGTGTGAGTGTCCCCCCAGGCCGTCTCTCTACTGGGACACATCCTCTACCCTGTCCTTCAGGATGTCACCTGGTCCCATCCTCATCCAGCCCCAGACCTGGCTCTGGCTAATCAGGACCCTGTTCTGATGCTCACTCCTTCCCCTGGGGCTGCGGGGCTGTCTTGGGGGGGGGTGCTCATCCTCACCTTCCAGACTGACATCAACATCTTCAGGGGTCCCCAGAACTGGTCTATCAGAGATGGGAAATGACCAGACTCCTGAAGGGTTTTTCAAATCCCACCTGTGAGGAGTCTGACCTACGGAAGGCCTTCGAGGTCCCTCTGCTCTGGCGCTCCTTCTGGGGGGCGGCTGTTACGGGACATCACTCGGGGTCTCCCTGAAATAGCTCTGCTCTTCCTGCAGCCTCTCTCTGCCTCCTTGATGGTGGTCAGGTGGTTACTGCATGAATGTCTGCTGTGAGTAGGGGTTAGATGGAGTGGGGAGAGAAACCATGATCATGGGTCAGGGGAGGGGAGGGCTCCCTGCACCAGGGAATTGGACCAGGAGGCCAGGACCAAAGGAGAGTGTTCCCTGCAAGCGGGGCCTGAGTCTTGGATTGGAAGGAGGGTTCCAGCTGACAAGAATTCCCTTTGGGGAAGGACTGGGTGATGATTAGAAGTGACAGGCAAGATTCCCTGCATACAGGGACTAAATCATGAGGATACCCTTAAGAGGGGCTGCTTATGGCCCACAAGATAGCCTGGTTCACTAGCCACGGGAGGAGGGAGGCATTCGACTCCACCCTACACCCTCCTTCACTCATGCCCTCAAGCAGAAAGACGGGTTCCTACAGGGGGCGGCTAGAGGCAATGGCACCCCGAGAGCTACACATGCCAGCCCCCCAGACTGTGTTCTGCATCCTGCAGGTTCCTGCTACAGTGGAGTACCTGGGGATCTTGGCATGACAAAGGGTCAGAGGGTAAGTGCCAGGAGGCAGCTGTGGGCAGCACTCTGGGAAGCTCACTAGAAAGCTTCTGCCTGGGGTGGGTGGCAGTGGGGTGAGTGTTGAAGCCTTCATGTTCTTAATCTCATCTCATCACCGTCCCCTCACTCCGGGCTCCCTTGCCCCTGTGTGTGACATCACATCACCTCTGAACACCTTCGCTCCGTGTACCATCATCACTGCCCTATGACATCCTGTCCTCGTGTGATGCTGTGCCTTCCCTGTGCCGTGTCCAACCCTGTGGTGGGCTCTTGTCCTGGGCAGCCAAAGCTGTCTTTCATCATTGTAAGTAGTTCTGACGGAAAGAACCCCAGTGCCCGGGGGAGCTGTAAAGGGCTTGTCTTTAAGTCTGTGTCCTGGGAGTGAGCACAGGCAGGCTGAGTTTCTTTATCCTAGGACACTCCTTGATTGAGGAGGGGAGGCGGTCCCCAAACCTTTCATCCACTTTATTTAAAGCACCATTTTGAGGAAGCAAGAAAACTGAGAAGTCAAGCCACACAACTACAGCCCTGCCTTAGGAAACAGCCGTCTCCTCTTGAGGGGTTCTGATAGTTAAAAGGGGGGTATAGCCCATCGTGTCATTGAGATGCCAGCAGGTCACCCTAGAGAAGAAAGCAGCCTCAGCAAGGCTCCAGGTTTGAGGGAGTGTCCTCTAGAATGACACCCCTCCCCTGGAATTGTGCCTAAGGACAGTCCCCAAAGACAATGACATGTTATGGCAGCCCTGACACAAAGCAAAGGGAAAGCTTTGTCCCAGCTGCTGTCGACTCCTGCCGGCCTAGAAAGGGGGACACCTGACCTTTACAAGCCGAGAGACACAAACGCACTTAGGTTCTGGAGATGTGGGCTTCCCAGGCCAAAACGATGGCCAACCTCAGCCCACCCTACTCAACTCTCTCTATGTTCTGGACATCCAGTGGCCAGGAGACTCCCACTGCCTTCTTGTCTGGCTTCATTATATGAACAATGTCCCCTCCTTCCCTCTGCCTCCTCAGCTGCTGCCGCTGACCAGGGCAGGTTCCTGAAGTTCCTGTGGTTAGGCCCCCTTCATAACTGGAGTTATGAAGCCAGTGGCCCCAGTGGCAGGAAAATAGCTCAGTTCTAAGCCTGAACCCCTGGGAAGAGAAGAGTCAGTTGTGAGGCATCTGTCCTCTGACGCTGAGGATCAGGAGTAGGGGTGCCCAGGGGCATAAACAGGGATGGAAGCCGACTGGGCTGTGGGTGCTTCCCCAGGCCGTGAGGATTGTTCAGCCTGCAGCCTGCCCTCCCCTCTTAGATTTACTATCTGTGAGGGAAGCTTCTGGGTCCAGGCATTGAGGAGACCTGTGACTCTCCTCACGCCTTGTGTGACCTTGCAAAAGCAATGTCTGTCTGCACCTCCGCTTCCAGGTGTTTCCAGGCCACTTGTGCCTTCCCTCCACTTCCTTTGCTGCTGGGCCGTAAGAGGCAGCAAAGTGTGCTTTGGGGTAGCAGCACTGCACAGTGCCCACGGGTGCTCTGCAGAAAGATCTCAGGGCTCCTGGCGAGGGCCACCCAGCAGCTCAGCGAGGCCTCCAGACTCTGCGGTGCCTTTTGCTGAGTGCTGGGCACTTGTAGCAAATTAAAGGGTGTTGCCCTTGCAGATGGGCTTCCTAGGACCTATGTGGTGTGATAGCCCTCCTCACACACATTCCTGCCACCCACAGCCCACAAGCACAAGAAGCACGACCTGCTGCACCCCTGTGACACAGAATACCCAGTGTTTGTGCACCAGACATCTATCCAGGAGGCCAATGGGATCATCGAGTGTGAGGCCTGCCAGAAGTAAGTCCCCATGCAGCCACCAAGCCCAGTCAGGGTGCAACTTCTCACTCCTGGCACCCACTGGAAGGTCCACGGAAGGAAAGGATGACGCCTCAGGGAAAGGTCACCCTCCTCAGGTCCCTACTCCTCAGTACAGGGAAAACCCAGGCTGAGGCCGGAGAGAGGAAGAGGGGCATGAACAATTAGGTGGTCTGCATTAAGGGACACAGACAAGGGATCCATAGGCCAATTCCCATGTCTGTGAGTTTCTCTAAATCCAAGGCCACGGACCTTTCTTAGAAACCCCTTGCTTGCTTCCCCTCTGCTCAGCCAAACCAGCCATGGCAAGCCAGTGCCAGGGCCTTTCTCACTTACGCCCCAGGCAGGGAGAGAAGCAGTTCTGCCCTGTGCAAAGCAGGAACTGTGTGCAGGTCTGCAGTGTCCCCAGCAAATGCACAGTGGTGGGAGAGCCTTGGCCTATATTCTCAGAGCTGTCATACTCTGGGGCATCGCCACCCCAAGCCAATAGTTTCCAAGCAGGACCCAGTCATGCTAACTCCTGGGTAGAAACCTTAGCTTCATCCAGACAGGCTTAGAAGGCCAAACTTCCACTCCAAGCCTTGGAGGAACCAGCCCGGAGACTTCTGTCCCAACCCAGGAGGACAGTACATCTAGGGGGCTCCCTCACCCAGTTTTCCTTCTCCCCAGGGCCACTAGCAGGTCTGGGGAAGCCCAGACCCATGCCAACTATTTTATAGCCTCAGATTCTGACGTCAGACAGATTTAGGTTTCTGTCTCTATCACGTGTGACATCTTATGCACACACAGAGCAGCCTTCCTGGGACTGGCGCTATTGACTCTGCTCGTCTCGAGGCTTAAAGGAAACATCAAGGGGATGGCAGAAAGTAAGGGCCTCCCCGCAGACAAGCTTGACTCTTTAAATCTAGCTCTGCTCCCCTCTGCCTCTACTATAACCGTAGGCAAGTTTAGCCCTGCTCGCCTGTTCTGTCTATGCAGAATGGGAACAATACCAAGTTCACATAATGCTGTGATGAGCACATCTGTGAGTTTATATGTGTGATATATACCTGTGTGTGTGTGTAACATCACCCACTCCATACAAAATGCTTGGTGGCAGCCGGAACGGCTGTGTTTGTAACACCTGGCCAATGCATAAAGGCCTTTCCCTACCCCCTACCCCAAGCTGTGTATAGGAGCATTGTGCCACCTTGTGGCCAAGCTCAGAACTGCAAGTTCTCCAGCTCTTAAGCCGAGATAGTTACTATCCCTGTTTGCTGGGAATGGCCCTTGTTCCTGTTAATGACAGCTCCTTTTTCATCTTCTCTGGCTACTGAGAAAGGAGGGAATGCCTTGTAAGTACTGGGCTACTGGCCTCAGTCTGCCTATGGCTACATGTCTCTTTCCAGGTGCCCCAGAAGGTCTCTCCCCCAAGTCCTTCTCCTTGGCCTGCACCCCTACTACTCAGAACCCTTCACCCTCTCTGCTGCAGGACATTCGTGATGCAACAGATTCCCAGCAGCAACCTGCTCCTCCTCGTGACAGACCTTGCCTGTGACTGCAGTGCCTACTCTCCCATCCTCCAGAAGGCCACAGAAGTCAAATATATCCTTCATGTCCTCCAAGGGGGAGAGGGTGACTGAGGATGGAGAAGCTCAGATTTGGGGTGAGGAGCCCAGCCTGTACCCCCATTCCCTTCCTTACAGGATGACTTATGGGCCAGCCCTCTGCCCCTGGGAGGGGTGCTCCCCATCCTGAACCTGCTTGCAGGGCCACTGACCTCCCAGATCTTGACCCCCAGGATCTCCAGAACTATGTAGAGTTGTGACCTTGACAGTGAGCTCTGCACATAATGCCTCTGTCAAATGTGACAGGATGCGCTCCCAGAAACCCCGGCGGCGACCAGGATCCTGTCATGCCTTCCATCCAGAGGTGTGGGCTTGGTCTTCACTCCCCAGTTGTGTCCTGTGTATGACTTCCTGGGATATGAATGTGTCTGGACACTGATGACAGAACTGTATGTGCCCATCATACTGGGAGACCCTTGCACTCACATGTATGTGGTGTGATGTAAGAAATTAGATTGGCCAGGCTTGTCATCCCAGCACTAGAGGGCAGAAGCAAGCAAGAGAATTCCAGGTCAGTTTGTGTGGGACAGGGAGGCCACAAGGGGACGGGGAGGGGGGAGGTGAGAGACAAGAAGCAGAGAGGAAGAAACAGAAGAAAAGGAAAGAGAACAGAACAAAGGACCCAAGGGAATCTATACTTCCTAGGGCCCGAGGCCCAAGGAGTTTCCCCCTCTCTGTCCACACTTGGGCTACCTCAGCACTAATCACTATTATGTGACTAGTGACAATAGCAAGTGGTATTTATAAACACCTGAGCTGCTGGCCTTCCTACTCAGTCTCAGCTGGGTGTGGCTGCCACAAACTACCTCCCCTAGAGATGCCCCTGGAGGTCAGGGCTGCTCCACACAATTATGAGGAGAAGACCCCAAAGACTAAGTATGCAGTTTTTACCATCCCCAAAAGCTGGAAGAAAGGTAGGTTTCCTGGAGACTGTCTGTGTCTAGCCACACTGCATGCTGGCCCTTGGGTTGGGAGGACCAGCCCACTCCTAATGCCCCTTACCTCTCTGGCTCTACAGGAGAACGCTCAGGACTGTGGTGGCGCTTCAGACATCGCAATTTCATTCCCTCTGCTCCTGCTACCGCTGTGGGCCTGGCTGCTTCCACCCCAGCTTCTGTGGTGACCCCATTCCATCTGACTTTCACAGAAGGGAACCCTTTAGAGACATTCTAAAAAGTCACTAGCTGGTGAGGTCTCAGCTTCTTAGCAGTAAGGTGTCTCCTGGGCTACCACCAGTCTCTGCCTCTTAGAGACTGTTGGAAGGATCCCCAAGGCTTTCTCCAAGGTGTTGGGACCAGGTACTCCAAGTCTTCTCTTGTCTCTGCTTCAGGACTCCCAACAAGAGCTTAACTGGAGGAAGGATAAAAGTTACCAAAGATCAGAAACAGTCAAAGGGGCAGGTGTTTCCCTGAGTTCTGGGGCCAGGGCTGAGCAGTGAGACCCATGCAGAGGCTATGCCTAGAGCACACTTGCCGTCAACACCGGAGTGTTTAGGAAGACGCCTTCATCCACTACAGACAGCACGAGGGAGGGTAGGCAGAGGGAGAGACAAGAAGACTCAGAGAAGGAGCAGGAAGGAGGAAAGAAATGGAAATAAAATCCTGTGAGCTATCATCAGAATGCCCCGCACTGAGGAACTCCAACCTTTTTACACCAATAGTCTGAAGAGAAGGGGGAGGGGTGTATGGGAGCATCTGGAGGGAGGAAAGGGGAGACATGTTGAAATTATAATCTCAAAAAGGAAAAAAGAAAAAGAAAAGCTACCAGGCTGTGACCTGCAGCTGCAGCGCTGTGTAACAGTGTGGTCCAGAGGAGGAGCTACAAAAGGCAGAGCCAGGTCAGGATCCTCACTAAGGTCAGGGGCACGTACAGTCTCCAAGACCATGGTGGGCTTTCTGTGGCTCGTGTTCTACAAAAGTAACTAACTACCTGTCTGGTGAAAGCCCTTGAGGTTAGAAACAACACATATAATCCTTGCCACCATGCCTTGAAGTAGGTACTACAATTTACCTGCCCTTTTTTTTTAGCATGTGTGATGTATGTGACTGGTGTGTTTGTGGATCTGTTTGTGGACCATGTGTGATGTATGTGACTGGTGTGTTTGTGGACCTGTTTGTGCAGAGGCAGAGGCCAGAGGATGCTGTTGGTCATCTTCCTCACCCACTCCCTACCTTATTTTTTGAGATAAGATCTCTCTCTAAACCTGGGCCCTCCAATTCAGCCACATTAGGTGGCCAGCAAGTCCTAGGGATCCTTCTGTTACCACCTCCCCCAGTGCTGGGATTACAAGCATGCCCACTATTCCCCCACTGTTTCAAGGATGTGGGGGAATCTAACTTGGGTCCCAAGTCCTGCTTCAGGACTTCACTAGCTAAGCCTCTCAAGCCCCATGATTTCCTCTCTTTTAAATGAGGAAACTAATCCCCACAAAGTGGCACACACATCTTTAGTCCTAGGACTCAAGAGGCAGAGGCAGGCAAATCTCTTAATTTGAGGTCAGTCTGGTCTACAAAGTGAGTTCCAGAACACCCAGAGCTACGCAGGGAAACCCTGTCTTGAAATAAATAAAGTAAAAAGGGGAAACTAAAGTTTGCAGAGGGGAAACTGGTTCTAAATCTTGGCTCTGTGAAGATCCCGTGTAACAGGCAACATACCTAGAGCTGCCAACCCACAGCAGCAGGCAATGGGCAGACTAAGCACTCCCCCACCCCCCTTAGCATCTTGCTTCACAGCTTAGAAGGCAGGAAAGATCAGAGGTACTGCCCAGCCCAGAAGAGGTACAAAGCATCGCAGCTGAGCTTCCTCTTCCATGCCACCAAGACAGTGTTGCCAGGCATGGCATGGTAGGTCTTTCCCAGTACCTGCCTCCCTGGCTTTGTCTTTAGTGTTGTTACCTCTACTCAGCAGCACTAGGTCTCAATGACAAGCACTGCAAAGTCTCTCGGGGGAGCTCCTCTCCCTCATCCACCCAGGCAGAGCATTTGAACCAACTTATCAACTATTTTGAGCACAGGATAAAAACGCTAAGTGTAGAATGCCAGGTGGTTCCTGGCCACGAATATGGGGCTCTTGTACCTGGCACTGCTGAAGGACTGTAGGTTTTCGAACATCACCAGAAGCAGCTGAAGCAAAGGCATACCCGACAGACTGCCACTCTGTCCCTATGATGCAGAACACACAATGTAGAACTCCATCAAGATGCTTGCAGGTGGTAGCCTAGCTTTGGTTAAAGATTCAGTCCTTTGACTTCTGAGGAAAGAAGTTGGTGTCCCTGCCATTTAATATATGGGGTATGCCATTCTGGCGTCTTTATGTGTCACCTTCAATAGCAAGAACTCAAGGACGCTGTCAGAAGCACCAGGATTGTGCAACTGGGGTAGCATGCTATACTAGAACCACCTCAAATAAAAGACTTCAACACCATTTCATGATGCTAAATGAAGTTTTGCTTCAGAAGAACCTGGGAGTGGATGTATCTTAAGGTCAGAAAAGTATAGGCCTAAGAGGAGCTCAAAAAAAAAAAATACCAGTTAGCACAAGCATTTGGCAGAAGCCAAGCCAAGCTCAATGGCAGTTTGGGGAACACTTTTCACAGTGTAGAGGAAGGCTGCAAAGGATACTTTTATTTTTGGCAGGTGAGAGCATATGGGAGGGGTCAGAGACCCATGTTCCATAGCAAATGACAGGACTCTCTATTCCAAGGCTAGTGTAGTCAAAGGACAGATGCCAGGCCATGAAGCTGCAGCTAAGCCCTCCTCAATGGTTCCTGAGGGGCTGAGCCAACAAGTATTTACTTGGGGGTGGGGGAATAACCAGTGCTTCAGTGCAACTACAGCAAAGCATTTACACAATACTGCTCCTGGGCTGCAGCAGTGTCATGCAGTTTCTCTAGGGGAGTGCAGACCACCCTGATAAAACACGGTGACCAACGTGCACGTGGCAAGGCTCCCTCAGCTCTCAGACCTCGATGGTCACTGCAACCAGGTGTAGAGAAAGCTCATCTTATTTTAAAGATAAGGTCTGTGTAGCCCAGGTTGGCCTTAAACTCATAATCCTCCTGCATCAACCTCCTGATGACAAGAAGTTTCTAAAAATTCCTTAAATTTCCTGTCTAAATTAGGGTGTTAAGGATATCCCTAAAGTGAAGTAAAGTTTCTAAAAGAGAAAGGGGGAAAAGGCAATAAAAACACAACGAAGTTGATCTTCCATTTGGCTCTTTTTATTAGAGAAATTGAGAAGACAGCAAGTAGGGAAATCCCATGGTGAATGAACAGTCACATAGATGCCTTTCTGGAACCCCAACCTTCTACAATCCCCAAAAGTGTGCTTTGTGACATCAGCAACTTAGAAAGGGGAAATACTGACAAAGGCCACTATTTACTGATGAAAGAATGAAGGTGTACAGGTTCCTAACTGGCCTGGGGCCAAGAAGAAAATGAAACACGTGCGCAGAGCAAGCCAGCCTCAAACTGCTGAAGGTAAGGCATTCAGGTGCCAACCTGACGAGCTCCCGGGGGCACCAGGTCAAGTGCACATGGAGGCTGTTGTAGTGAGCTGCAGAGACACACGTGGGCACACATGTGCCCATACACACACACACACACACACACACACACACACACACACACACACAGAGAAGGGAAGTTACTAGACACACTAGTGGTGTTGATTCTTTTTCCTAAGAGTTTGTGCTATGGTGAACCAGATTCTCCCTGCTTGGGAAAGGGATGACTGGACCCAAAGACCTCTACTTCTGTAGAGTCATGGGGTAGCATCTCATACTCTATCCCAAGTACAGGACAAGGGAGTTAAGTCTGGCTTCTGATATGTGCTGTTGCTACCACAAACCTAGGTGAGCTTCCTTCTAGATGAACATTGTCCTGCTGAACTGCTTGAGGAATTAACACTGTTCTCTAACTCTGCCTGACACAATGTTGTTCACTCGGAGTCTTCTGTTTGGTCTACCTAGGGCAGTGACCTTATCCACAATCAAACACTCATAAGTTCTTCCCAGCTTTTACAGTGGATGCCTTCCTGGATCCCCAGCTGCAGCTGGAGATCTGAAGGTGAAGGAAGGACAACAATGACCAAGAAAACACTACTGAATAAATAGAACCTTCTCACATTCCCAAGCATCCCTTTTGAGATGCCTGAGGCCCTATATTACACCGCAATACCCACCAGCCCCAGGATGTAATGTCTGCCTGAAGTCTTGGAGACTCAAATGCTTGACTTCTCACTTAGGAGCCAAGATCAGAATTCGATAAACCAGACCCAACTCATCCCCACTCTCTAAAACCCGTAACACGGTAGCCCTGGGACAGAGAAATTGTCTCTAGCAGCAATTCAAAATTGTGGGCCTAAGTCTATCATACTACCTAGCAGGAACACACCACTTCTTTTCCAACTCTGTACCACACTCCTTACAAATGGCACTCAGTGAGTGCTAACTACAGAACCTGTTCTGCCATACCACACTTGCCAAGACAGTGCACCAGAGAAAAACGCCATCACTCCTAGTAGGGATGGCTCTCTATACCTTCCTATTTGACTTCATTAGAATTTCACTAGTGACTGGCTCCATGTCAGGAGCTATGGTGGGAGGGAGAAGGTGGGAGGAGAAGTGGGGGCAGTTTTTTTTGTTTTTTTATTTCCAGGAGGAAGGATCATTAGGGCAGTGATTCTCAAGAGAGAAAAGTTTGCAGAATGGCTCAAGGCTTCAAAGAGAGGGTCTGGAAAATGGCCACATCTCTATTCAGATAAGAACTACCACCTGGTTAAACAGGACACCAGGGAAGAACTAGACAGGCCCTGTGTTGATGTTCCCTCCCTCTCTCCCAGAAGACCTCCTCCCCTTCATCATCTCTTTACTACATCACTCTTCAGAAAGGCCCTGTGTGACAGCCTATCAGTTGATGCCTTCTCTAGAGCCATGACAACAGCCTGTGCTGCTTTCACTGAAAAAGCATACACCACTTCCTTTCATTTGCCTCCCCTTCTGAATGCCTAGAGCCCTCAGTGTTGAGAGTGGCCAGAAGATCCCTGGGCTGGGGCTGTATCCTCTGTCCCAGCAGGGTCCAAGTGTTATCAGCCTATGAAAGGCACCTTGGTGCACCAAGACATCGTGCATTCTGGGGCTACCACTTCATCCTCCTTCCATCACTTTGTGCAAAATTGAAACAGTGTGTGGTACTTGCATGTTTCATTCTTTTAAAAAAGTCTCCCTCCCTCCCCTGCCCCTATGTTTTAAATGTTTATATAAATTCTTATTTAAACAGTAAATTAGAAATCTTATTTACATTAATTTCTTTGTTCTCCCAAAAGAGTGCCTAAACTCATACTCCAACCCCTTTGCTGGATATAAATGTTCACCTAAATTGGTTTGGTTATTGTTTTGAGGAGCTCCAGTGGCACAATCTGTCGGAACACGGTACTCATGTATTACTGCGTTAAGGAGAGAGAAAGGGAGAAGAAAGAACCACCAACCAAAGTTCCCATCTTCTACAAATAAATACGATCACATCAGAAGCCAGTCTGTCAGGCGAGGGTCTTGCAGAGTTGCCTTCAATCGGTAGATCCCAAAAGGAAGTAAGGGGATGAGCCATTTCGTCTTTTCTCCAAATTGATGCACTCCATCCTTTGAGGTATGATTTATTTTTGTTTTTCTCTTCTTAGTCTTGAACCCCATGGAGCCCTTGGGCCACCACAAGGCCCGGGAGGCTGTCCAAGTTTTGGGGCTTCTCTGGCACTGGCACCAGTAGCCAGTAAGCAGGCCTGTGGGAGCTGCAGGCCTGGGTTCGGGGTCACAGTCCCTGGCTCCTGCAAAGTTTCACAGTGCATCCTCTTCAGTACAGCCCCCGCCAATCATGAAACGGAATTCCTGCAGGTTTGAGACACCGTGGAAGTGAACGAAGGCGCCAGCAACCACAAAAATGTGGAAGAGCTGGTGGGAGTGGAACTGGAGGGAGAGACGGGGAGACCATTCATTACTAAGCCTGCTACAGATACCTAGGAAAAGACACTGCTTCCCAGCTTGATAGTGGAAATGCATTATGTTCAAATTCAAATTGGGACAAGAATATCCACTGGGGACCTCATATTCTGAGTCAAAAGCCAACTCTCCTAGAGAAATACAGGCTCTGCCACTAACACAGTGAACTTTGGGGTAATTCCATATAGCCCTTACAGTTAGATCACCAAAGGACCCCCTGACAATCAGCAGCAGGATATGATTTACTGACAAACACTTGAGAAATTACAACACTCTCTCATGGTCTCAAAATGGAAAGACACAGTGCTATTTATCAAGACACTGGTATTGAAAGTATAACTGAGTCAGGCGGTGATGGCGCATGCCTTTAATCCCAGCCCTCAAGAGGCAGAGGCAGAGGCAGGCAGATCTCAGTGAATTTGAGACCAACCTGGTCTGCAAAGCAAGTTCCAGGACAACCAGAGCTGTAACACAGAGAACCCTGCCTCAAAAAAAAAAAAACAAAAAACAAAAAACAAAAAACAAAATAAATCAACAAACAACAGAAAAGAAGTATACCTGAGAAGAAACGGAAGGTAAGTTAGCTAACCTGAAGCTCAGGAGACTGAGTTCAGGGTCATCTATCTTCATTTACTGTAAGAACACGGGTGGCCGGCTCGGCACACAACTGTGAGCAATAGTGAGAAGCAGGACCTAAGAGTCAGACCTCACTGTAAGAGCACTCCTCATCTACTTAATACACTGCTGAAAATGTTTCAGATCCTCTTTGGGTAGAAATGTCCATCTTTACTAGGTCCTCATTTTTTTCTCCCTAATCTTTCCTTATCTCTCATTA